ATCTCTCAGGAGTGAGTGTCGTGGGGATTAGCTAATTTACAGCTGTGAAGAGCTTTCAACATGTGAACTGCTAAACAACAGTGAGATCGTAAAGAGAATTTAAAACGCCATCAGCTCGTGCAGCGTGCCCGTATTTGATGCCCATCATTATATGTTTAACTATTAGTATTACTACTCATAATAAACTTTTATGGGGGTACTTTAGGTGGTTGAAGTGTTTTTATGAGAGCTAATTAGTTGTTTCAACCAGCTCTATGAGGTAGGTCAGTATTTTTATCATCCTTGTTTTGGAAATTACATTAAATCAGGGCATGCATCATTTAAGAAATCTTAAACTTCTTGATGTTTGGAAGCATTTTGCAACTGGAGACAGTTCTCATACAACTGTGGAACCTAACACAACGCTGCAGTGGGGGGCATGGGGGAGGGAATTACACTTTTACTTCTCCACATACAACACTGTCAGGTCTTTTTTATTTTTATCTTCTTTAAAGATTTATTTATTTGAAAGACAGAGTTACACAGTTACAGAGAGAGAGAGAGGTCTTCCATCTACTGGTTCATTCCCCAATTGGCTGCAACAACCGGAGCTGCGCCGATCTAAAACCAGGAGCCAGGAGCCTCATCCGGGTCTCCCACGTGGGTGCAGGGGCCCAAGGAGTTGGGCCATCTTCCACTGCTTTTCTAGGCCACAGCAGAGAGCCGGATCGGAAGTGGAGCAGCCGGGACTGAATTGGCGCCCATGTGGGATGCCAGCACTGCAGGCAGTGGCCTTACCCGCTAAGCCACAGCACCAGCCCCAGGTCTTTTTTTTATTTTGAATCATATGGGTGTTTGCATGCTGGTTTTCTGGTGGTTCTTTTGTGTGTTAGGGTATACTTAGGAAACCTGAGCCCACTCCAGATATTTAAAATAGAAGTTTTTTGATTATTTAAAAAAAACCCAATTTATTTTTTAAAGGATTTATTTAATTTATTTGAAAGGCAGAGTGACAGAGAGAGAGAGAGAGAGAGAGAGAGATCTTCTATCTGCATGTTTACTCCCCAAATGGCCACAACAGCCAGATCTGGGCCAAGTCATAGTCTGGAGCCAGGAATTCCATCTAGGTCTCCTGCATAGGTGGCAGTGTCCCAAGCACTAGGGCCATCTTCTGTGCTCCTGGGTGCATTAGCAGGGAGCTAGATCCAAGTGGGGCGGCCAGGACCACAGCCAGTGCTCTGGCATGGGATGCTGGTGTGGCAGGCAGTGGCTTAACCTGCTGCACCACAACACCGACCCCAAACAGAAGTTCAACACAAAGAATAGGTTACACAGTTTGGGGCTGGGCTGAACAGGCAGATGGGAGGATGGGAGCAGGGCAAGTGTTCTACAAGAAGAGGGCTGGCCTTTGTGAGATGGGTGGACACGGGTGTGGCGAGTACACGTGGGTCTCCCCTCCTTGCAGGCCTTCCCTGTGGTGGGATGCCACCACCTCCACTGCCCTGAAGAAGACGGGGCCAGGGTCCTGCCAGGCTGCAGACTGCACAGGGGAGGAACACAGCGTGTCTCTTCCTAAGAAAGCAGCCCCTCGCGTCAGCACGACACACTGCTGCCCCTACCCTCTGCTCGCCACTGCCCTGCTCACCCTGCCGGGCTCGGACACGCTGTGCCACCTTGTTTCCACAGCAGTGGTGTCTGGGACTCGGGTACACTCCTCCTGCCTGGATGAGATGGGGATAGAACAATGGAGAAAGAGGGCGGGAAGATGGGCTCAAAACTCAACCTGGGTGAACATGGGAACTGCTTGTGGCCACTCCTTCTCGGAACAAGGTAGGCACAGGCACACCACGATGTGGTCTGTAAAGACCCCTGACCAGTGCGCTGTGGAGAAAGTCTAAACCGAAAAGGCAAGGCGACTACTCAGACTCTTTGTGGGTCTCCAAAATGGCCGAGAGTTGCCGAGAAGAAACACAGAAGAGATCATGTGTGGAAATGAGTGACTTCAGCCTCACTTTCAGGCGTGGGGGCACAAAAGAGGGACGTGAGCCGGCGCCGCGGCTCACTAGGCTAATCCTCTGCCTTGCGGCGCCGGCACACCGGGTTCTAGTCCCTGTTGGGGCGCCGGATTCTGTCCGGGTTGCCCCTCTTCCAGGCCAGCTCTCTGCTGTGGCCCGGGAGTGCAGTGGAGGATGGCCCAAGTGCTTGGGCCCCGCACCCCATGGGAGACCAGGAGAAGCACCTGGCTCCTGCCTTCGGATCAGCGCGGTGCGCCGGCCGCAGCGCGCCGGCCACGGCGGCCATTGGAGGGTGAACCAACGGCAAAGGAAGACCTTTCTCTCTGTCTCTCTCTCTCTCACTGCTGGCGCTCTGGGCACGGAGAAGCTGCCAGAGCAAGTTGGGAGTAAAGCTGCCCAGCTGCTAGCACCCTCTGACCTTGCACCCTTGTTTCCTTTAGGTGGAAGTCGACAGGGACGTTAGAGGTGAGAGAGCCTGGGACACGTTGAGGGTAGGTTTCCAGCTCCAGTTCGGAAGGGAGAAGCGCAGGTGCAGGGCAGGGAGGCAGCAGGTGAGCCACTGGCCCCTCTTGCAAGGCTTGGGGAGATTCAGAGATGTGCTCCAAGACCTTTACGCCAGCAAGTGGCAGGCCTGAGATTCAAGCTCCGGCTTGTGGATTCCCAGTGCTCTCACCTTCCCAGTGGGGCTCGAGCAGCAGGTGGTAAGAATGTTCCTCTCTACCTGCCTTCAAGGGGCGCATAGGGGGGTGTCAAATGAAATCCTGTACATAAAAGCACTCGGTTATTGCTAAGCAACCCACAAATGCTAATTAGTGTTGCTACTTGTAATTAAGGTTTTTTTTTTAAAAATAAATAAATTAAGTTATTTGAAAGGCAGAGTTACAGAGAGTCACACAATGGCAGGAGCTGGGCTGGTCAGAGCCAGGAGCCAGGAGCTTCTTCCGGGTCTCCCATATGGCTATAGAGACCCAAGCATTAGGGCCATTGTCTGTTGCTTTCCCATGCCATAAGCAGGGAGCTGGACCGGAAGTGGAGCAGCAGGGACTGGAACTGGCACCCCTATGTGACACCGGTGCTGCAGGTGGTGGCTTAACCCATTGTACCACAATGCCAGCCTTTGTACTTAGTTTTATAAAAATGCATTCAAGTTTAGGATTAGATTTCTCTTCCCATAGAAAGAAGTTAGAACTTTTTTTTTAAAGATTCATTTATGCAGTGCCGGCATCCCATTTGGGCGCTGGTTCGAGTCCCCTGACTGCTCCATTTCTGATCCAGTTCTCTGATATGGCCTAGGAAACCAGTAGAAGATGGCCCAAGTCCTTGAGCCCCTCCACACGTGTGTTAGACCTGGAAGAAGCTTCTGGCTCTTGGCTTCGGATTGGCCCAGCTCTGGCGGTTTCAGCCATCTGGGGAGTAAACCAGCAGATAGAAAATATCTCTCTCCTCCTCTGCCTCTGCCTCTCTGTAACTCTGCCTTTCAGATAAATAAGTAAATCTGAAAAAAAAAAAAACAAAACAGAAAATGTTACAGGAATAAAACTCAATGCATTTTTAAAAAAGATTCATTTATTTATTTGAAAGGCAGAGAGAGAGAGAGAGAGAGAGAGAGAGAAATCTTCCATCCACTGGTTCACTCCCCAAATGGCCTTAACGACTGGGCTGAGCCAGGCTGGTTCAAGTCCCAGCTGCTCCATTTCTGATCCAACTCCCTGTTAATGCACTGGGAAAGCAATGGGAGGTGACCCAAGAACTTAGGCTGCTGCACCCTCGTGGGCTTCAACCTGGCCCAGCCTTGGCTGCTGTGGCCAGGGCTGGGGAGTGAACCAGTGGATGGAAGGTATCTCTCTCTCTCTCTCTCTCTCTCTCTCTCTCTCTCTCTCTCCTTTTCTCTTTCTGTATCTCTGACTTTCAAATAAATAAATAAATGAATCTTGAAAAAGAATAAAAGCAGAAGCAGCAGAGGTAGAACTCAGTCCTGTGCACTGTGACCTGGGATGCAGGTGTCCCAAGCAGGACCTTCACCTGCTGTGCCACAACACCTGTCCACCCTACCTTCTCTTTTAGATAAGAATCTTTGTGTTAATAATCCCAATGTCTAGAAAAGAAAACTGAGTTATTGAATAGTTGTATTAAATAGACAAGGAATGGATCTCCTGTCTCTTGACTTCCACTCTGTGAGTGGGCAGGGTGGTGTGTGGGAAGTAACATTTCTGGATAGGTAACTGAGGCAAGTTACTTCTCCCCTCTGAAGCTTAGCTCCTCATTATTTTTTATTTTATTTTTTTTGACAGGCAGAGTGGACAGTGAGAGAGAGAGAGACACAGAGAGAGAGAAAGGTCTTCCTTTGCCGTTGGTTCACCCTCCAATGGCTGCAGCGGCCGGCGCCGATCCAATGGCAGGAGCCAGGTACTTATCCTGGTCTCCCATGGGGTGCAGGGCCCAAGGACTTGGGCCATCCTCCACTGCAGTCCCTGGCTACAGCAGAGAGCTGGCCTGGAAGAGGGGCAACCGGGACAGAATCCGGCGCCCCGACCGGGACTAGAACCCGGTGTGCCGGCGCTGCAAGGCGGAGGATTAGCCTAGTGAGCCACGGCGCTGGCCAAGCTCCTCATTAATAAGACAGGAGTACTTGTCCTACCGCCTTAGTGTGTCAATTGGAGAATCAATCTTGTGAATGTGTGCTAAAGTGCTTGGCAAAACGTCAGGGACTCCCACTAAGTTGCCTTTTTGCCTCTTGGACTGTATCAAAATGTGGCTTCTGGAAACTTTGAGAAATCATTTACGAGGAAACAAGACTCCATAGCCTCCTATCATCAGTCATTCCCCGATGTCACGAGCTGTGCTTAATGTTTGGTTCTCCCCTCCCCATCAGAGACAGTGCGATTGCTCTCCTGGCCTGTTGTTTTCCCAAGCTAACAGCCTTCCCATTTGTATTGCTCTGAGAACGGCTATGTCAGAATCACTCGCCCTAACCCTTGCTTTCCATCAATCTCTTTTTGGCTGCAGAATCCCAAGGAGGGAGACAATATCCAAATTGCTTTCACTGCAATAACTCAGCCCAGACAAGAACAAAAACAATGACAGCACATCTAAACCCCAAGTACCGGATGGTGAGTGACTCCTGCGTGGGCAGCTGAGCAACCATATGCAGCCATCCTTGCACCACTCTGGTGTGTTTGTTTAAGCTGCTGGGCTCTGGGTGTCATTGCTGGGGATACTTTTTTTTTTTTTTTGCCTTCGAAGTGATCCAGTGTTGTCCTCCTCTGTAGGCTACAGAGTGTGTTCTGCCTTTGACTGAGCTGGGTTGGAATGGACTCTGCTAACCCTCCCTTCCTGTGAGGCTCCAGCAAATGGGGTGACTTAGGGTCAGAAGCAGATTTTGGATGAGGTCGACCTGTGAGGGTCCATTCTCCTGCCCAGGCTGATAACCTGGGCAGTTACATTTCCTCCTGTCCAGTGGTCCTGGTGTGAACTGGCAGAGGGACCCAGGCAGAGCCTTGTGCTTCGTGGTTTCCTGAGCATCCCCTTTAGTGTCAACGAGCAGTATCTAGGAATGCTTTGTCACACAACAGTGGCTGAGTGTGCATTACATAGGCTGGAGCAAGGTGATGGACAGTAAGGGTCCCATTAAATCCTGCCCTCAATAATTCATGGCTTGGGGAGGAGCTATGGGGCAGACCACTTGGACTCCAAGTTCTCAATGCCATAGGTACTTCAAAAACCACTTGTGGGTAAATAATACAAGTCTCCAAAATTAGTGTGCTTACCAAAAGGCAAGTATACCCCAAGGAAGCATTTCTGTTTGAATTTAATTGATTTAAAATTAGTGTTCCATTCTTTTGATGGCTCCATTCTTGTTTACTGGGAAAACATTCGCAGCAAAACACATAGTGCGTGTGTACCTGGGCGCTGATAGCCTCACTGGCAAATACTCCTCACCACAGCGCCTGGATACATATTTGCCTCAGAGACCTGGATCGCTCGAAAGGAACCGTTGAGGTCTCCCAAGGAAAGCTGTCTTTACTTGACAAGAATGATGCCAGCTTTTCAAATCACCTTTTAGAGCAGTTCTAAGGTTGAGCCATGGCCTCTCAACCATGGCTACGGAACTGTGGAAAACAGGAAATACTCTGTTACGAAAGTGTTGCTATTCGGCTGCATTGCTGCATCCCCCTTTATTTCCTTGATTTTTTTGAGGGGAAAGGGTAGGAAAGGAAGACAGAGTGGATTTGTTGTTGAACAAAGTCTTTGCCTAGAAACAGATTTTTGTTGTTGTTTTAATCCTTTGGTTTCTTCCCCATCTGAATGAAAGAGCTTATTCTTAGGGGAATTCCCAACATGCAGAGGATGCTAAGAAATGGGTGATGGCTGCATGCACTCCTTTTAGATACAGGATCTAATTTCACTTACGGTTCTGTTCTTCCAGCAGTTTCACTGTACACACACACACACACACACACACACCCAATGCTTGCTCATTGTGGGCAAAGTGGACAGAAAGAAGGAAATATGTATCAGCCGCCTTAATCTAACCACCAGAGGTAATTAAAAAAAAATTTTTTTTTTGACAGGCAGAGTGGACAGTGAGAGAGAGACAGAGAGAAAGGTCTTCCTTTTGCCGTTGGTTTATCCTCCAATGGCCGCTGCGGCCGGCGCACTGCGCTGATCTGAAGGCAGGAGCCAGGTGCTTCTTCTGGTCTCCCATGGGGTGCAGGGCCCAAGGACCTGGGCCATCCTCCACTGCCCTCCCTGGCCACAGTAGAGAGCTGGACTGGAAGAGGGGCAACCGGGACAGAATCCAGCGCCCCAACTGGGACTAGAACCTGGTGTGCCGGCACCGCAAGGCAGAGGATTAGGCTATTGAGCCGTGGCGCCGGCCCAGAGGTAATTTTTAAATGTAAAATCTTCAATCTGTAACTTACAATATAATACTTTAGTAACAATGGGGTTATATGGGCTGTCCTTGATGTAAGTTTTATTTACTTTTTGTCACTTATTATACGAAGTGCTTATTTCCATCTTCCATGTTTAGCATTATTATATTACCAGCTTCTGAAAATTTTATCATGTGATGTACCAGTCCTCTATTGTTAAACATTTTGAATACTTCCAATTTTGCCTAATTTCTACATAATGGTAAATATCTTGGTAGCTACCATTTTTTTTAAGAGAAATGACTGCAGATGGAACATCTGAAATAAGGGATACAAAAAACATTAGGTTTTTGATATGTGCCCTTGGATTTCCATCCATAAGTGTGCCAGTTTGATCAGTAGAAACCTGAGAGAATGATCTTTCCCTACACATTTACCAATGGCAGGCATTTAAAACCATCTTTTCATTCCTAAGGGAAAAATAGGATAAGGGGTAGATCGTGCAAATCCTGTGCAGCACTAGCAACACGGATGAAGATAGAATTGGTACCTGGTGCTAACTGAAGTGAATTCCCCCCAAAGTCGATGTATCGAAGCTTTAGTCCCTACTATGAGTGTATTTGAAGATGTGACATTGAAGGAGGTAATGAAGATTTAATGAGGTCCTAAGTGGGGCTTTAAGTCTTGATCCAGTTGGGCAGGTGTCCTTATAAGAAGAGGAAGAGACATTTTGGGAACTTGCTGCCTGCGTGCAGGTACGGAGGAAAGGCCCTGTGAGCACACAGAAGGAAGGGGCCGTCTGTGTATGGCGGGGCGGGGCGGGGTGGGGGCTCACTGGATGCACCTGCTGGCACCTTCATCTTGAACTCCCAGCTCTCAGCACAGCTTCCAGTTGGTGAGCCCCCGGCCTATGCTGTGTTTTCGGTGATGGTGGCCTGAGTGAGCTAATGTGGCACCACTGATGATCTTTGACAAAACCAAGGCATTCAGCATGTTCGGAGGCTCCTCGGGGGGTACTGAAAAAGCACAAAACCAATACAATGGAAACGCTACGCGGGGCCCTGAGATCACGTAGATGGAGGTGGGGCTCTGAGCTGGTGCGGCTGCACAGGAGGAGGTACAGCCTGCCACACCTGAGAGCCATGCTGGCACTTATTTATCTATTTATTTATTTATTTTTGACAGGCAGAGTGGACAGTGAGAGAGAGACAGAGAGAAAGGTCTTCCTTTTCTGCTGGTTCACCCCTCAATGGCTGCTGCCGCCAGTGTACCGTGCTGATCCAAAGCCAGGAGCCAGGTGCTTCTCCTGATCTTCCATGTGGGTGCAGGGCCCAAGCACCTGGGCCATCCTCCACTGCCTTCCCGGGCCACAGCAGAGAGCTGGACTGGAAGAGGAGCAACTGGGACAGAATCCGGCGCCCCAACCGGGATTAGAACTCGGGGTGCTGGCGCCGCAGGCAGAGGATTAGCCTATTGAGCCCCAGCTCCGGCCTTATTTATTTATTTTTAACAGAGCTAAAAGGGCACCCGCCTGTGCAGCCGCTGAGCTGAGGGCTTGCCTTTTATTTCCATGGCATGCCTGGCCCTCCCTGTATAGGGGAAACAGTGTGTAAACTAACACAACTTCTGCATTTTGCTGACACAATTCCCCTGCATACCAATCATCTAGAACTCAATTGGTGTTTTAGAGAAATGTGTCACAGCAGAGCTGAGGGTACCACAGCTTCCTCACCTGACATTTAAGGAGGCTGGGCCAGATGGTGAGTTATTACATCTGTGTGCTCAGCAATACCTAGGCTATATCATGTCCTCTTCCAGTGCTGGAAGCCGGCCTTGTGGTGCTGGAAATCCAAGTGGGCTCAGCTACTCCCCCTTCCTTGTTTTCACAGAAGAGCTCGGGTTTTTATGTGTTACGAATGATTTGATTTGGAGGAAGGGTCTACTAGGGACTGAAGGTTTGTGCCCTCGTGGTCCCACTTTCACAGTTGAAATCCCGCCCCCCCCCCCCCCCCCATGACATTGGTGCCAGGAGGTGGGGCTTCGGACAGACACGCAGGTTCTTAAGAGTGGAGCCCTCCTGGGTGGGATTAGTGCTTGTGATCAGAGGCTGTCTCCATCTTCTCGCCCGTGAGGGTACAAGAACAGGTGGCCGTCTGTGAGCTGGAGGACGGCCCTCACAAGAGCCTCACCCTGCTGGCGGCCGCCACCTTGAGGGGCAACTGTAGTTCATGCATCACCCCATGATGGTTCTGCGGTCAGAAGCCCGAACTAAGACAAGGGCCTTCATGTTAAGAGGTTTGAAAACATTAAGATAGGGGGAGATGTGGGCACTTCAGAAAGTTCATTGGAAATGGAATGAAAAGATAAATTAATTTTGGTGTTAACAGTTTTTGGAATCCATGCATATGAAAGGTCTTCAAAAAGTTCATGAAAAAAATGAATATGATGAAAACACTATGCTTGGATTTTGGATTTTTTTTTTTGCATCACAGTAAATTTCTTTTTTAATTCCATTTTCCAGTAACTTTTAGAAGTATCCTCCTATTAAACTCTCTTCTGCTTCTAATTCTGTGATCTTTAAAATTGGTTTATTACCTTTGTGGGACTTTGAATATTTTATACTCTAACATACATATTTCTTATCTAGTAATAAGGGTATGTATTGAAACTCCCATTACATAAACTTGGAATCATTGTTTGACTTCCCAAAGTCACACACAACTAGGTGTAGCTAGAACTTATTAAACTCAGGTCTTCTAACTCTAAGCATCACCATATCTTAAATATATATATAAATGGGATCTAAGGTCTAAAATGGCCATTACTCTGAAGCTGGTGAGCTTGGAGAGAAGGCCTTCATTTTAGGAGTTGCAAAGCCCTAGTGGTCAGCACACCCTAATTACATGCAAGGAAGCTAAGGGAAAAGGTCTCCTGAGCTTTGAACCTGCAAACCTATACTTATGAACTGGCCAGCACTATCTCTTCCCAGAATGCTCATCACCTTCCCTTTCTCTAGTCTTCAATCCTTCCCATCTCTAGTAACAAACTGTGCTTCCCCTCTCTGGTCCCAGCATTTACGTTTCATGAAATAGAGATTTTTGTGGATTATTAAAAAATCCATCTTTGCTACATTACTTTAAACAGGCTCTTTTTTTTGTTTTTGACAGGCAGAGTGGACAGTGAGAGAGAGAGAGAGAAAGGTCTTCCTTTTCCGTTGGTTCACCCCTAATGGCCGCTGCAGCCAGCGCACCATGCTGATCTGAAGGCAGGAGCCAGGTGCTTCTCCTGGTCTCCCATGGGGTGCAGGGCCCAAGGACCTGGGCCACAGCAGAGAGCTGGACTGGAAGAGGAGCAACCGGGACAGAATCCGGCGCCCTAACCAGGACTAGAACCCGGTGTGCTGGCGCCGCAATTGGAGGATTAGCCTAGTGAGCCGCGGCGCCGGCTCTTTTCTAATTCTTTATCTTTAGCTTATATGAATTGACTGGCAAATTCTCCATCTCTTCCATCATGGTCCTCCAATTTGAATTTTAGTGTGTTTACCACTAAAAAAAAAAGGCTATCTTTTTGACCGAGAACCTCAGGCTGTTGTGTTACTACCTGAACATGATTCTTTTGTTTGCCTGTTTTGGGATATAATATAATTATACTTCTAGGTCCTTAGTGATTCCTTGCTGCAGAAATGACTGCTGTTCTTTTATTTAGTCTCTGTTGAGTAGACAAGATGGCCCACAGAAAATAGAGGGATTCTGGTCTCTTTCTGTGTCACTCTTTGTCCCTATCTTTTCTATTTTGCTCATCTCTTCAATACTTATATTGGCCATCCTGCCTTCAAGGAATCTCAAAGAAGAAGCCAGAAGGCAGCTCCGATTTGTCACTTCCACAGAACTGTTGGTAGGTAGCATAGTGTGTGTCCCAGAGAGGGACACATGTTAACCCTTTCAAGGATTCCGGTTAAGGAATAGTCAAAGAAAGCTTGCATGAAGCTGAGAAGGCAGTAGCCTTAAGGCAGATGTACCATCTGATTTTACAGGGACACAAACCCACAAAAGCTTAATGGAAAGGAGAAGGTCAACACACTGCTTTTAGGCTCTCCTTTGATTACGTCATTGGTTTGGCTGGTTTAGCAGTTTCCCTTTAAGACCTTGTTAATCATAATGATTATAATCACTTACAGTTGTTTAGCACTTCACAGTTTAAAAGCATTTTCATATCCACCATTGTATTAGAACTGCACACAACCTTGGAAAGATATGGTTGCCAGCAGTGATCTTGCTGGCAAGGTCATTCTGGTAAGGGCACCTCGTCTGAGTATCTGGCTTTGGGAGGAGATCCATGAGGGGGGTTGAGGGAAAAAGGGGACACAGAACCAGCCTGGGCTCAGATGTGTCCCCGGTGCTGAGTCCCCAGTGCCGAGATGTGTCGCCCACCCTCGCCTCTGCACCTCCTGCGTAGGACTCATCGGGCTCAGCTCTGCTCACGGTCACCTCGCTGAATCACCTTGCCCAACAAAGCCTCCCATCCACACCTGTCCTGGATGGGCCACATTTCTGGCCCGATCAGCCGCACCAAGGTTGTTCTCTGCATTGTTTTCTCGGTTAATTGTAGCTGCTTCCTCAGCAAGGGGTCCTGTCAGAGTTTAACTTTCCAGGAATTTGTAGCTCGGTTCCTCCAGGGTCCTGTTGTGATTGGAAGTCTGTTGTTTTTCTTGTATACAGGAGTCATGTAGCTCCCAATCTGTGTGGCTTGTAGTTATCAGCTGTGTGACGCCCACACTTGGCTTTACCCCGTGTCCCCTAGATGTCTAGCCTCACATCCTCTCTTCTATAACCCTTGGATATGAACAGGGAAGCTATTCTTATTTACAGATGGGCGGATTGTAGTGGAAGGTCACGTTTACTTCTGCACATAGCCAGAGTTTGGTGGAGTCAGGAGCAGTCCTCAGACCTCCTAGCTCCCACCTGAGCTTTCTTTCTTTCTTTCTTTCTTTCTTTCTTTCTTTCTCTCTTTCTCTCTTTCTCTCTTTCTCTCTCTCTCTTTCTCTTTCTCTCTCTCTCTTTCTCTTTCTCTCTCTCTCTTTTTCTTTCTTTCTTTCCTTCTTTTAAAAGATTATTTATTTATGTGAAAGTCAGAGTTGTACAGAAAAAGGAGAGGCAGAGACAGAGAGAGGTCTTCCATCTGCTGGTTCACTCCCCAATTAATTGTGACAGCCAGAGCTGTGATGATCCAAAGCCAGGAGTCAGGAGCTTCTTCTGGGTCTCCCACTTGGGTTCAGGGGCCCAAGGACTTGTGCCATCTTCTACTGCTTTCCCAGGCCATAGCAGAGAGCTGGATCGGAAGTGGAGCAGCCAGGACCCAAACCAGTGTCCATATGGGATGGTGGCACTGCAGGCTGCGGCTTTACCCGCTTCGCCACAGCGCAGGCCCGTGAGCTCTATTTCTACACATGGTAGAATGCAATGTGATGCCCTTTTCTCCCATTCCCCCTTTTTGAGAAATGATTGCAGACAGGAAAAATTTCAATTCTTTCCTTTCCAAATTCCTTGCTTTCTGATTCTTTTCATCTGCGTTTTAATGGGAAAATGTGTGTATCACAGGACCAGCCCACACCCCTCTTAAGAGCTGCCACCTGCAGGGTGAGCCCTGCTTGCCCTGTTGCAGCTCATGGCTTCCCCGCCTCATTTTACCTGGACATTTGTAATGGGAATGAGGACATCAGTCATTCAGTTTTCTGCATCATTCAAACTGAGACCAATTACACTCTGGGGCCGTGGCCAGCGTATTTAGCCACATAAACGTTAAACAGAGACTGGAGAAAGGAGGACAAAGGCAGGGCCGGAAGCAAAGCAGAGAGGTGAGGAGCCGTGAGATGCCGGGGGCCATCGAGGCAGGCAGCCGGAGCAGAGCCTGGCCCCTTCACCACCCTCCAGTTCTCTGCTCTGGGTGCACCAGCAGCCCAGCCCCTGCTGTAATTCCTGCTTTGGGTTTGTGGGAAACGTGTCGAGATTCTTCCTGGAGAAGCCCTGTGGTGCTGAGGTGATCCTCAAGAGAATTTCCCATTGTCCTCTGACGAGCTTTAACCTCGACCTTCTGGAATTGCTGTCTCTAAGCCTTTCCGTCATCTGCTACATACAGGAAATACCCTGCCCCTAGCCGGCGCCCCGGCTCACTAGGCTAATCCTCCGCCTTGCAGCGCCGGCACACCGGGTTCTAGTCCCGGTTGGGGCACTGGATTCTGTCCCAGTTGCCCCTCTTCCAGGCCAGCTCTCTGCTGTGGCCAGGGAGTGCAGTGGAGGATGGCCCAAGTGCTTGGGCCCTGCACCCCATGGGAGACCAGGAGAAGCACCTGGCTCCTGCCATAGGATCAGCGCAGTGCGCCAGCCGCGGCGACCATTGGAGGGTGAACCAATGGCAAAGGAAGACGTTTCTCTCTGTCTCTCTCTCTCCCTGTCCACTCTGCCTGTGTAAAAAAATAAAATACCCTGCCCCTGCATTGCCATAGCTGCACACAGCCCATCTACATCCCCTCAACCCCCAGATACACAACCCCTGGGTGCACCCGAAGCCCCTGCACTCCCCGGCTCTGCCTGGCCTCACCTCTCTTCATCCCGAAGCCCCCTGAGCCTGACCCCCAGCACTTGGTCCGCACTGACACCCTCCCAGCGCTATTGTGCTGCAGCACACCCATGTCTGTCTTCTTTTGCAAGCACCCTGGCACTCACTGTTGGCTAATGACTAGTTGGCAGCAACGAAGAGAGAAGTGGCAGCCAGCCTGGCCTGCAGACTGCGAAGAATCATGTTTTCTAAGAATGAAAACATTCCTTGGTAAGCAGCACGTTCCAGCACTGAGTAGTTCTCTTTCGAAGTCCTGCTGGGCTCCTGCTGCCTCCAAGTGTCTGTGCTTCCCTTTGTCCTCCTTCCCGGATGTCCACCTCCTTCCCGGATGGAGACTGGCTAAGGCTGTCTTATCTGGGGACTTGGGCTCCTCAAAGGCAGGTGTGGGCTCTGGGTGGTGGGTCCCTCCTATGATCTCTGCAACGCAAATTGTTAGAGTCATGCCCATCGTAACACAGTAATAGGCTGCTATGTAATTTTTTTTAAAAAAGATTTATTTGTTTATTTTAAAGGCAGAGTTACAGATAGAGAGAAGGAGACAAAGAAAGAGAGAGAGAGAGAGAGATCTGGTTCACTCCCCAAATGGCCACAGCAGCCAGAGCTGGGCCCAACCCAAGCCAGGAGCCCAGAGCTTCTTCCTGTCTCCTATGTGGATGCAGGGGCCCAGGTACTTGGGCCATCCTCTACTGCTTTCCCAGGCACATTAGCAGGGAGCTGGGCTGGAAGTGGAGTACTTGGGACTTGAAGCCGTGCCCATATAGGATGTTGGTATTGCAGGCAGCGGCTTTACCCACAACGCCACAGCATCAGCCCCTGGCAATCTTTTATACTCAGATTTTTCCAGTGAAACCTAGTACTTATCAAGAAATCCCAGATTCTCTCTGATATTCATTCATTCATTCATTCATTCAGAAGTCTCCCAAGCCTGTGAATGAACTTACCCTTGTCTTGGATTTACTATTTGTTCCGGAGAGGGACCCAACTCTTGACACCATTTTGCTCATTGCCTTCCTGCTCACCTGGGGAGTGGCCCACCGCCCTGTCTCTCTAGAGCTCCTCCAAGCCGGGCGGCTGAGGCTAGCCTTCTGATGCCAGACCTTACTCTGCCCCCAGAGAGAATCATGTTGCAGACTGTGACAGCAATCCTTAGTGTCCATGATATTATTCACTACCCATCAGAACAGTCCTCAAAAGCCGGGTCAAAGTGCCACTCAGACTGCACAGTCCTCTAAATGTTTCTTAGCCAGAAGAGGGCATTGCATCCCTGATTTATTTATTTCTTCCTTTTAAACTAAGCGAAACATCCTAGGAGAGCAAATCACGTTTAGATCCACACTGTTTTCGAAGTAACAACACAGCAACAAAAAGTTCATCTGCTGAAGCCACATAGCTAAAAGGAACCTCACTAAGTGAGGACCAGGCCGCTGGTGCAGAACATGGCTCAGCGTAACGGGGTCCAGTGGCTTTTGGAGACCACATTTCTCATGGTGCTTGCTCAGGTTTGAAATGAAGTGACAAAAAAATGCAGCCAGGGCCTCTCGCAAGTGAGGAGCAGTGGGTAATATATTTGTTTGTACTATGGGATTGCAGTTCTACTAGAAGGAGCACTTGACATTTTGATGAGTGCCTCCAGGGAGAAAAGGTACTAACTTCAGAACTTAGTTTTAATTATACTAAGGAGATTACATTATTCAGAAGCATCCCACTGGTAAGGTGCAACATTTCCTGAAACAGTTTAGTGGAAAATGCCACATTAATCAGTTCAATATTTCACTCAGAAGGCTTAATGATGGGAGAAGTTTAAAGTACCATAGCGTGATAATGCAGAGAGAATGGGGGAAAAAAAGAATGTTCACTTAGAGGAAAAGGCTGAAATAGTCCCTCTTATGTCTTTTCCCATTAAAGTAACTGGCTGGCTGTGGTAGCAGTGCAGTAGGGATCAGTTCAACATTTGAGACTCCCCCTACTCACCTCCCCCCATTCCCGAAAGAGAACGACCCTGGGAAGTCAACAAACAATGTGAGAGACGAAGCGTGTCAAGTTCAAGCCTTGTCTTCGGCTCAGCTGTTCTAATCGGCCTGGGGAAGTTCACCTCCACTCCTCCCTGAACTGATCCAGGTTGGTGATGCATCTAGGACTGTTCTCTCCCTTCCCATCCAGAAAGACCAAAGGTAAATGAACGGTATTTGATGCTAAAGGGAGGTGGGCAAATGCGATTCTCAAGCATCCTGTCTTCCCATCCTTTTCCCCAACTCATGTTGTAACTACCATTTCCCGTCTACAAAACTTAAGTGGGAGTCTAGCCCAAAAGTCAGATCTGTTTAGGCACTTCCCTGAGAGGTGGCCAACATGTAGGGGCATATTGAGATACCCGAGATCGATTGACAATGAAGATTGGAAATTCAATTAGGCTGTTAATGTCTGTGAACATACAAACGAGACTTATGGTTAGCCAAATTAGAGGAACAATTAAGAAAACAAACAAATCAAAATCACCTGTCCACGTGAACATTGGTCCAGCAACTTGCTGCAAACAGCTGTGGGGCCATGGAGGCCTTGTGGCGAAAGCCAGAGAGGCAGTGGTCAGACAGCAGAAATAATCACTGCTTGTGTGCATGTTTGCTAATTATTATTATTATTATTATTTTGTCAGGCAGAGTGGACAGTGAGAGAGAGAGACAGAGAGAAAGGTCTTCCTTTGCCATTGGTTCACCCTCCAATGGCCGCCGCGGCCAGCACGTTGTGGCCGGCGTACTGCGCTGATCCGATGGCAGGAGCCAGGTACTTATCCTGGTCTCCCATGAGGTGCAGGGGCCAAGCACTTGGGCCATCCTCCACTGCACTCCCTGGCCACAGCAGAGAGCTGGCCTGGAAGAGGAGCAACCGGGACAGAATCCGGCGCCCCAACAGGGACTAGAACCCGGTATGCCGGTGCCGCTAGGCAGAGGATTAGCCTAGTTAGCCGTGGCGCCGGCCTGCTAATTATTTTTGTATCCAGTTGTTAGTTCAATTTCTCTTGAACTCTCACCACAAAGGAACTAAAGAGCCTTGGTTGGAAAACTAAAAATCAAGCCTAGGCCGGCGCCGCGGCTCACTAGGCTAATCCTCCGCCTAGCGGTGCCGGCACACCGGGTTCTAGTCCCGGTTGGGGCGCCGGATTCTGTCCCGGTTGCCCCTCTTCCAGGCCAGCCCTCTGCTGTGGCCAGGGAGTGCAGTGGAGGATGGCCCAGGTGCTTGGGCCCTGCACCCCATGGGAGACCAGGAAAAGCACCTGGCTCCTGGCTCCTGCCATCGGATCAGCGCGGTGCGCCGGCCGCAGCGCGCCGGCCGCGGCGGCCATTGGAGGGTGAACCAACGGCAGAAGGAAGACCTTTCTCTCTGTCTCTCACTCTCACTGTCCACTCTGCCTGTAAAAAATAAAAAAAAGAAAAAAGAAAAAAAAATCAAGCCTAAAATCGCATAGCTGGATTGTCTAGAATGTGTGCCATGTGACATTTCCCTCCCCTGGGTTCTTTTCTCTGTTTCTTAGGAAATGTTGTCACAGATTTTTACTCCGTGTGTGCAGTGCCTCCCTCCTGCTTTGTGCATTAGCCTTCTCTTTGCGTTTTCCTTCAAAGCGCTCCACTTCCTCCTGCAAATTTGCCTTACTCCCTCTTGGTGTAACAGGTGCCTGTGTATTTTTACTCTGTTTCCTTGCACATAAATCCTTGCCTGCCACTTTCTCCACAGAAGGAGGCTAACCTTAGTGCTGTCTGAAATACCACCTTATTTTTTCTGTTACAGAAATTCCCAAACTTTTCGTGGTTGCATTATCACATTCTTGCCTTGTTCTTGTTTTCCTTCTGATATGATGTCAAAATTATTTAGTATGCATGTATTGAAAACATTGTCGCTGAACTTGCATTGGGTTTTAAGGTGTTGAACTGGTGCATTTTTGTTATTCTAGCTAAACTACTTGCAGGAGCTTCTTTGGGAAGGAAAGGCTTATTTCAGCTCACGGTTGGAGATCGCAGCTCAGGATCAGGTGGCCCCACAGACCTGCATCTGCAGGGGCTGGTCGTGGTATGGTTACGTGGTGAGCCGGGAAGAACAGAGAGAGAACCTAGGCTGAACCTGAACTCAAATAACTCCCAGTGCCCCACCCCTCAGACACCATTATTAGACCAAATTGTCACCCTTAATCCATCAACAAGTAACATGATGATATTGGGGATTGAACATTTGCATGAGTTTTTGGGAGACAGATACCACTCAGCTCCTAACAAGCATGTGCAGTAGCACACAGGGTTTTAACAGCGTCCCAGGGAAGCCAATATGTATGGCTTCACCACTCAAATTGCTATTTTGTTGTCATGATGCCCAGGTTGGTACACAGCACACACACTTGAGGGACTTTAAGCAGGAGTGTGCTGTCTCCTAGTTTCTTGGTGGTCTTAGAAAATTGTGGTTAGATGTTACCACTTTATGTGGCTTTATTCACTGTCACACAAAGTCCTTTGGTTTGGGGCTAATTCTTCAAATTAGACAGAATGGGTTCGATTAGTTCCTCATTGGTTCCTTCTTGTAAGTCTGGGGCCTGGTCCTCCCACAAGAGCAGGGATGCTGAAATCCACTGGGTTTGTACTAGTTTCTGGCCTTGGTTGTCATCCTCTAGTTTTAAGATTCCAGGTGCTGTTCTACTTCTCAAATGTAGTTGACTCTACTTTTGGATTTAACCAAATGAGTTTTCTAAGCCTTAGAAAGGTGTGGAAGCTTTCTAAACCTCAACAGAAGGGGTGGAAGTGTGGTACATGGTGTTATAGGAAATTAGAAAGCAGAATTCTAAATGTTGAATCACCTGGGAATTGCTAGATATAGAGTAGCAGGTTATAGTCAAACTGCTTAAAATGTGGAGTGTTCATTAGCTATTATATAAAAGACTCAATTACACTTGCACATACTGGCTTGAGGTCTTCTTTTGGGGATTGAAATAGCTAACTTTTCATTTGACACAAAGACTTTTTTGTAGAAGAAAAAAAAGAAGGACACCTCTCTCATCCATGCCCCGCGTAGAAGAAGGCCTGGACTGTGGTTCGGTACTTGTCCCTCCCACATCCCTGTGCCACAATTCCCTTTTATGACTTTCTGAACTGTCGCTGGCTTTGACAAGAGCTGGTGCTGGCTGCTGGCCTGGCTCCTCCCACGTGGATAGCCTCTTCCCGTGTCTTTTCACCTCTTATGAAGCGGTTTCACCATCACCAAGGTGATCACTTACCGAGGCTTGCTGGGCAGTAACCATCTATTCTTAAAAATTGAAACTAGGGCAGCTCTTACCTTCCAAAGAATTTTGCCATGACTTTGGGCTTCAAAACTTCACTTTGATTCACACTGTGTGCATTGACTCTGCCTGGCTCCATCTTTGTCCTTTATTTTTTTCTTCACTATTCCAACTTACTCCATTGTTCGGTTTCTCTAGATTCATATATCTACCTGTTGTAAGTAATCTTATTCTAGTTGTGAGTAGCTATTTTTAGATGACAACTCAAGGTAATTAAAACAATTAAAGTTGTATTCCTTTTTATGAATTCTGTCAGTTTAAAATTCAGAAAATGTGGGGCCGGCGCTGTAGTGCAGCGGGTTAAAGCCCTGGCCTGAAGCGCCGGCATCCCATATGGGCGCCGGTTCTAGTCCTGGCTGCTCCACTTCTGATCCAGCTTTCTGCTATGGCCTGGGAAAGCAGCAGAAGATGGCTCAAGTCCTTGGGCCCCTGCACCTGTAGGGGAGACCCGTAAGAAGCTCCTGGCTCTTGGCTTCGGATCAGCACAGCTGTGGCTGTCTGGGGAGTGAACCATCAGATGAAAGACCTCTCTCTCTGTAACTCTGTCTTTCAAATAAATAAAATAAATCTTAAAAAAAAATTTCAGAAAATGTGGAGCCAGCAACGTGGCATAGCAGGTAAAGCCACCGCCTGCTACGCCAGCATCCCATATGGGTGCCAGTTTGTGTTGGCTGTTCCACTTCCAATCCAGCTCCCTACTAATGGCCTAGGAAAAACAGCAGAAGATGGCCAAATGCCTGGACCTCTGCCACCCATGTGGGACACCTGGATGAATTTCCTGGCTCCTGGCTATGGCCTGACCTAGCTTTGGCTGTTGTGGCCATTTGAGGAGTGAACCAGCAAATGGAAGGTCTCTCTGTGTCTCTCCCCACCTCCTTCTGTAACTCTGCCTTTCAAATAAATAACTAATCTTTAGAAAAAGTTCAGAAAATGTTATATTTAAAACCATGCTTTAATATTCTTATATTATTGCAATACCACTGAACAGTAGTATTACTTTTTTGCTAAAATTTCAGAAATTACAAAGTTAGCTAAGCATCCTAGCAGTGATTATCTCACCATATTTTAGAATTATCTGGAAACATTTTATTTTATTTTAGGATTTATTTTATTTATTTGAAAGGCATAATTACAGAGAGAAAGAAAGGGAGAGATAGAGAAAGATCTTCCATTTGCTGGTTCACTCCCTAAATGGCCCCAACTGCCAAGGCTGGGCCAGGCTGACTCCAGGAGCCCAGAGCTTCTTCCAGGTCTGAGCACTTGGACCATCTTCTGCTTTCCCAGGTGCGTTAGCAGGGAGGTGGGTCAGAAGTGGATAAGCCAGGACTCAAGCCAGCACCCATTTGAGATACTGGCATTGTAGGCAGTGGCCCCTTTAATTATTTATTTATGAAAGAGCCACAGAGAGAGAGGGAGAGAGAGAGGGAGTGAGAGAGAGGGAGAGAGGGGGAGAGAGAGAGAAAGAGAGAGAGAGAGAGAGAGAAGGAGAGGGAAAGAGAGAGAGAGAAGGAGAGAGAGAGAGAGAATTCTTCCATCCGCCGTTTACTGCCCAGATGGCTGCAGCAGCCAGGGATGAGCCAAGCTGAAGCCAGCAACCAGGAGCTTCTTCCAGGTCTCCCACTTGGGTGTCAGGGGTCCAAGGACTTGGGCCATCCTCTGCTGCTTTCCCAAGCACATTAACAAGGAGCTGTATTAGAAGTGGAGCAGCCAGGACCCAAACTGTTATCCCTATGGGATGATGACATCACAGGTGGCAGCTTTACCTGCTGTGCCACATGCTTACCTGCGAACATTTTTAGATTCAGCTGCCCAAGCCACAGCTCCGGGGAGTCTAGAGCAAACTTGTCTGAGGCCTTAGCAACGCTTTAGAGTAGCTCGGAGAACCCCTGCAGGGAATCTGAGGCTCACAGTTCTGAGGATTAAACACAGATCAGGACTGAGCACGTGATCTGGAGCTGGTTCATTGTGTCTTCTCTTGACTGAGCTTAGCTTTAATTTCCAAAATATGCTTTGTCTCTTGGTGTATCTTAATGTTGTATTCTCCAAAGCTTGCATTTCTAAAAATGTTATTTGAAATACGAAAAGCATTTTTAAAGCAAAGAAGTATTCATGAATACTTTTTCTTTGAAATGCAAACCTTTAAAAAATGATTGATTTATTTGGAAGGCAGAGTGACAGAGAGTGCGGGCGAGGGTGGGAGAGATAGTCCATCCCCTGGTTCACTACCCAAGTGGCTACGATTGCTGGGGCTGGGCCAACACAAAGCCAGAAACCTGACACTCCATCGGGCCTCCCACATGGGTGCAGGGGCCCAAGCACTTGGTCCATCTTCCGTTGCTTTCCCAGGCACATTAGCAGGGAGCTGGATTGGAAGTGGAGCAGCCAGGACTCGAATTGGTGCCTGTATGGGATGCTGGCATTGCAGGTAGTGGCTTAACCTGCTGTGCCACAGTGTCTGCCCCTAAAATGTAAATTTTAAATCAGTCTTCGTTTTCCTTTTTGATTGGAATTTTTAACAGGAGTTTACATTTTATTTAGAAAAATTTTTTTTCCTTCTCAGCTTGGAGTGCCTATTAAATCAAAATAAAAAATAGATACATGTTATGACCTGGCAGTTGCATTTCTAGAAGTTGTTCTTGCGGAAATTCTTGTACATATAACAGAGGAGGATTTTCACGGGAACACTCAGGGCACACAACAATGACAACAAAAGCCAAATGACTATGATAGGGCTAATGGTTAAATGAGATTTGGAACTCTGTACAATGGAGGAATATGCAGCTTTTAAAAGTAAGGATTGTATCATGGAAAGATAGATTTAAGTAAAAGAAAAAACACAAACACGAGCAGGGGGAAAAAAAACCTAAGGTGGTATGATTCCTGCCTCCACTTTTTGGTGTAAGAAGAGAACATTCCATGGGTCTGTGCGTGTGAGTGTCTGGGGAAGCAAAATTACCCAAAAGTCTGAATGCTAAAGATTTCACAGTGCTGGTGGTTTGGGGGAGGTGTGATAAAGGAGCAAGGAAGGGCTTTCTCTCACTGTCTTACTGTAACATTTTCATGATCTGTCTTCAACAAGCATATATTACGTATAATTAAAAAGCAAAAGGAAAGGGTAAACAGGCAACCCAACATAGAGAGGCTGGGCTGTCACACCTGCTCCCCAGAGGGCCCAAGGGCGTGATGCAGGCAGCGAGACTGGAGTCTGTGCCTCTGCTCCCAGACCCCCTGGTCCCACCTGGCTCCATCCCCTGCCCCCTTCTCTTTGCAGACCTCGACATTCTGGCGAACTCAGCAGCAGTCCTGCCTCTGGCCTGCTTTGTGGGTGTGGCCCTGAGCTGAGTCTGGGCAAGGCCTGGGAGGGGCACAGGCACAGCTTTGGTCCTGGGTGGGGGAGGGTTAAGAGTGGGTGGGTGGAGATTTCAGAAACTATAGTGCAGTTCACCTCAGAAGATCCAGTGGGCCTTGCTGTTGGCCCCATGGATGGAGGTGCCGTTATTCCAGCTCCCCCAGAGAGCGAACAGCAAGGAGAGGCTGTCACTACCAACTTGAGGTATTCTCATTAATTTCCAGTATATTCCACTGCTCCACTTCCCGCTGCAACGCCCGCTTCTCTGGCGTGCTCACTGTGTGCCAGTCAGTCTAAGTACTTTCCACCCATTATCTCGATTAATTCTGATAACAGCCAATAGGATAGGTCCTATTAAGTTCACTCCTTTTACAGATCCAGAGAATGAGGCACAGAAAGATGAAGGATTTGGCTCAGAACCGTACTAATAGTAGGTGGCAAAGCCAGAATTCCTTACTCTGCTCCATCTTCCTGTTTAGGCCAAACCCTTCCTCCCCTACCCATCCCCAGTACACTGAAATCAGAAAGCAGTGTGTGAAGACAAAATGAAACAACACTTATGAATGCCTGGCTCCTTCCTTTAGGAGAAAAAAGGAATTAACAGTAATACAACAATAGCTTAAGAAGTAAGATTTTGGTGGAAGTAAGCTAAAATATATATTTAGGTACATCGTTTTTCTGAATTACAAGTTAAGAAAATTTTTATTGTGAATTGACAAATTATAGTTGTATTTATTTGTAGGGTACAAAATGATGTGATTTATGAATACAATGTCGAATAATTAAACCGATATATTGGTCACCTTGAATACTTATTTATTTATTTATTTGTGGCAGGAACGTTTGAAATTTACTTTCTTGGGGATTTGGAAATGTACAATACACTGTTGTCGACCGCGCTCACTCCACTGCGTGATAGATCTCAAGACTGACATCACTCATCACTGCTGTCTAACTGCGGCTGAGGCTCTGTACCCTTTGACCCCTCCCCCCATACCCCACCTTTGGTGATCACCATTTCACTCTTTGTTCCAATGGTGAGTTTTTACTGTCCTTTACTTTGACAGTTTTCCACTAACACTTGCCTCTCAAAATTTTAGCTTATTATAAGATAAGCTTATGAGAGATTTTACATATATGGAAAAGTTCACGGAAAATGCCTATTTAAAAAACCATGCATAGATTTCAAAAATTTTTTGCACCAAAATATGTTTTTTAAAAAAATATTTATTTATTTATTTATTTGAAAGAGAGAGAAGGAGAGAGGGAGAGAGATCTTCTATCTGCTGGTTCACTCCCCAGATGGCCGATCCAGAGCCAGGAGCCAGAAGATTCTTCAGGATCTCACACTTGGGTGCAGGGACCCAAGTCCTTAGGCCATCTTTTACTGTTTTCCAAGGCACATTAGCAGAGAGCTGGATTGGAAGTGGAACAGTTGGGACTCAAACCGGTGCCCATATGGGATGCTGGCGTGGCAGGCAGAGGCTTAACCTTCTATACTACAATGCCGGCCCCCAAAATAAACATCTTTTAATTCCATTTTTCCATAAGAGGTAGCATAGCAAGTGGTGAAAACGTGGACTTGAGCCAGACTCCCTGATTTTTTTTTTTAAGATGTATGTTATGCTCTGCTCCCCACCCAGGAGACAGTGGCTTGAGACATCGTTCCATGCCAGCGAAGAGTACCTCGTCGCCTTATGTCAGCAGGAAGTAGCTCTAAAGACAGATCATCGTCCCTCTATCCCTCCTGGACTTTTGGGGCTAATGTAATCCCATATAAACCCTGCTTTATAAAAAACAAAAGAGGGGAATGTTAGGAAAATGGCACAGTTTTATCTATGGTGTGATCTACACCTTGACACCATCCTAGGCTCTAGCCCCCACTGGGCCATTGCTGGAAGCCAGGTGACCACATGGCCCAACCACTGGTGTCAAGCTCCACCCCCATCTTAATGGGATTCGCTGCTCCGGCTTCCCTGCCCACCCTCCGGCAAAGTTTTAAAAGGACCTGTTCCTGTTCCTGGCTCTCCTGGCTCTTCTCTCCCACTCTCTGCTCTCTCCTGCTCGATCTCTCTTCTCTCCTCGCTAGCTCCTCTCCTCTCTGTCTCTCTCTCTTATACTCTCCTTCTCTCCCTTCTTCACCCCTTCCCTCCAGCTTGCTGGTTTTCCCCAATAAGTCCTTTCCCTTAAAAAACAAAAACAAACAAACAAAAAAAGATGTATGTTAGGGGCTGGCATGGTGGCGTAATGGGTAAAGCCACTGCCTGTAGTGCCAGCATCCCGGTTTGAGTCCTGGCTGCTCCACTTTCCAATCCAGCTCTCTGCTGTGGCCTGGAAAAGCAGTAGAAGATGGCCCAAGTCCTTGGGCCCCTTTACCCATGTGGGAGACCTGGAGGAAGCTTCTGGCTCCTAACTTCGGGTCAGTGCAGCTCTGGCCATTGTGGCCAACTGGGGAGTGGACCAGTGGATGGAAGATCTCTCTCTCTCTCTCTGCCTCTCCTTCTCTCTGTGTAGCTCTTTCAAATAAATAAATAAATCTTTAAAAAATGTATTTAGTTATTTGAAAGGCAGAGTGACAGACAAAGGGAGAGGCAGTGAAGGATCTTCCATCTGCTGGTTTATCCCCAAATGGCTGTGATATTTAGGTCTCTGCCAGTTTGAAGCCAGGAGCCAGGAACTGCATCTGGGTTTTCCACATGGGTAGCAGGGAACCAAGCACTTGGGCCATCCTCCACTGCTTTCCCAGGTGCATTAGTGGGGAGCTGGATTGGAAGTGGAGCAGTTGGGGCTCACCCAGTGTTCTTATATGGGATATGGGTGGTGACAGGCAGCAGCTTACTCCACTGTGCCAAAACGTGGGCCCCAGACTCCCTGAATTTCAGTCTTGGCCTCAGTGGCCCCGTGGACTTAGGCAAATCATGGAACTTCTCTGTGCCTCAGTTTCCTCCTCTGTAGATTTCCTGATCAGTAAAAGAGTAGTATCTGTCTCTTAAGGTTGTCATCACAATTAAATGAATGATACTTAAAGAGTGGCTGGCACATGACAAATAGCATGAAAGCATTTGTTAAATCATTAATTTAGAAGAAAGTGCAGCATAACCAAACTGTGGAATGGAGCCCGTTGATTTTTGTAAAAATTCTATTTATTTGAGAGAAAGGCAGGGAAAGGGACTTCTATGTACAGAGAGTGCCCATGCACTGGCTTACCCCCAGAGGCCCACAGCAGTCCCTGGCCAGGCCGGGGGCTCAAGCAGGGAGCCAGGGACTTGCTCCAGGTGTCCCACGTGGGTGGCAGGAGCCCAGTCACTTGGGCCATCTCTGCTGGCTCTCAGGATTCTGCATAAGCAGAAAGTTTGAGACAAGAGCTGGAGCGGGGTATCAAACTGAGCCAGCCGATGTGGGATGCAGGCACCCCGACTGGGTCTGAGCTGCTAGGCCAAACACCTGGCTTGCTTTTTACTGAGGAGGAAAAAGGAAGAAAGAAACCCTTATTTCTTGCCCTTCTCCCCTGGTAGTTGGTAATAACTGGTACCAAATACAGCCTTTAGAATGCCCAGGTAAGTGAGAATCTCCAGTTCAAGCTAATGATCATGATTCTTGAGAAATGGACCCTGGCTCCACAGAGAGCTGAGCTTAATAACAAACGGGAAGCAGGCCCCAAAGATAGCATGCTGCTTGCGCGTCTGGGGCTTGGGGCTTGGGGACCTTGGCTCAGAGTTGTTAATGTGGCTATTAGCCTTGAGACTTTTCTGCTTTCACACCTTCTACTCCAAATTTCATCCTGAGTTTAAACCTTAGCCCGAGTTGCTGTTGGATTTCACATTCTCAGAGGTAGCATTATGGTTTTAGTGTCTTTGGGGCATTAAAATCTATATTTCACTGTAACGAACAGGAGCAAACCTTACGCTAGCTAGCTGGAATTCTTCTCAGCCTCTCCCTATCGAGGTTTGCGGTTTCATTTTGCTCTAATTGTCCCCAGTGGTGCAAACAGGCAGGCACTCGGCCTTTGCCAATAGACGTGGAGCCACCACCCCCTTGTCCTGTCTCGAAAATGGAATGGATCCTGGAGGCTGGGATTAGCTTCTTGTACGCACTGGGAAGAGTTGGGGGAAATTACGATTCCTGAATTTTACTTCCGTCTGTTGATTATTGCTCCCGTCATTGCTTCTGCTCTTGTGAGCAGGAGGCGCCCTGCGAGAGAAGAAAGAGCTCCGTGAAAACGGTGAAGCCGGGCACGATGCCTCAGCTGAAAGGGAGCACTCAAACGGAAAACTGCATCATTAATAATAACATTTTTATAATCACCCATAGAAGCGAGTCAAGTCAAGTTGCCTGGCTCCCCCAGCTTTTCGCTGGGCTGCCCTACATGGTGAGGCTGTGTGCCCTTGCTGGCTTCCCTCTCTACTGCTCATCGTGTATTCTACAGCACGTCCCTCTGCAATTGCCATAAGCAAATCATTTAACCCATAGGAATAATCCTGGGGAGGTGATGTCAGTGCAAACAGATCTGTGCCTATAAAGACCAGCGATGCACAACCACGCGGAGGGAAGGGCTCACAAATGTGAAGTGCTGTATCACTAGCAAGTGCTGCAACTAATTGGCAATAACTGTCCACACGCGGAAACCAAGGCATGGAGGGAGCTGCATTTCAGAGAGCTTGGCAAAAGGAACCCAGCCCGGGGAAACTAGGGAGCCGGACTCTTGAGGCTTATCAACACAGTAGGACCCGCGGCTCACTAGGCTAATCCTCCGCCTAGTGGCGCCGGCACACCGGGTTCTAGTCCCGGTCGGGGCGCCGGATTCTGTCCCGGTTGCCCCTCTTCCAGGCCAGCTCTCTGCTGTGGCCAGGGAGTGCAGTGGAGGATGGCCCAGGTGCTTGGGCCCTGCACCCCATGGGAGACCAGGAAAAGCACCTGGCTCCTGGCTCCTGCCATCGGATCAGCGCTGTGCGCCGGCCGCAGCGCGCCGGCCGTGGCGGCCATTGGAGGGTGAACCAACGGCAAAGGAAGACCTTTCTCTCTGTCTCTCTCTCTCACTGTCCACTCTGCCTGTCAAAACAAACAAACAAACAAACAAAACACACAGTAGGACCATGCACTAGCAGCATCAATTCCATCTCCAGTACTGGTGGGTGTCCTGGGTTAGGTGCTAAAAATAGGTTTTATTCTCACTTATTGTGATTATTTAGCACGTTAGCTAAATTTTCATGGAAGATCCAGAGAAAGCAAGTCCCAGACAATTACTGCAGAGCACTAAGTGTAGATGGTGCTCACTGGTTTTCATGTCGTGGAAGGCTGTCCTAGTGACAGGGCTTCTGAAATCCAGTGGGGCAAAGTGGTATGTCAGGAAGGAAAGAACCCGTGGCTAGGAGTTCAGAGCGTGACTGGGTCTGAATCCTGACTTCACCGCTGCCTGGTTGGGTACCTGGAGAAAGTTAGGTTACTTCCTCATGTTTCCTTTGTGTAAAATCTTTGCCTCATAACGATACAGTACAATTCTAGAACAGTGCCTGGCATGTAGAATAACTCACTAGATATTCCTGCATTGTCCAGCTTTTCGTCACTACAGCAGAAGTACCTAAGAGGAGCTAGCTGCTAACGCCAAAGGTTGAGTTTGCTCATGGGCCTTGGTTCACAAGATCAGGTGTTCCCCTGAGTTTGGTGTCTAGGGAGGGAGGAGCCTGGCAATGGCACAGTGTGTGTGGAGCAGTGTGCCCTGGTGAGCTGGGACGCAGAGAGAGACAGGGAGCATGCTCAGCCTATGTGACCAACCCTTTTGGGGGCACCACCTTCGGCATGTGAGCCCTCAGTGACCTGAAACCTCGCCCTCTGCTCACCTCCCAGGTACTGCACTGCAATTGGATCAAGCCTGCCCCCTTAATCCAACAACCACTAACTGTTAACATAAGGTTTTGGGGTTTAAATGTCTTCCTGAGTGGGGGATCCAAATCATGTTCAAATTCCAGCAGTTGGTATAGTTTGAACTTAATGTGTCCACTTTAGACTGAGAGATGTTTTAAAATGCCTGTAACGGACACAACCTATTTTACTAATTTAGTAGTATGGAATAAAACCATGCCTTTTTTTCTTAGGACTCTAATTAAATGGCTTGAGCCTTCTCACCCAGCATCCCTGATTTCACCCTCCTAGATAGTGTTTAGGAGCTTTAGGTTTCCAAGGAGCTATCTTGCTCAGACATGGTCCCTAAGAGTGAGACGGTATATTAGTTGCCACTCGAAACTTGCTTCTGCTTGGGTTAATGCGTGGCCCAGTGGCAGACACAGCAAAACCTAAGCAGTCAAAGGGCACATTGGGTCACCACCACTCCTGAGATGTCAGAGGGCCAATGCTTCAGGCTTCAGTGCAGTGCTTCTCCCAAACTGGTTCTTCCAAGTCTGAAGATCTCCTCTACCTCCTTTCCAGGAGTGACCAGAGGAATTCCACATCAAGTTGAGCAGGCAGTCCAACTTGAAGGATTTTTAAAAATTCATTGACATAGTCGTTCCTGCAGAACACAAAATATGTCCAGAAACACGACTTCTTTGACCAGCTGGCTTTGTACAAGGGATGCTCCATAACTCAATCTCTTTCAATCCTCCACGCTGATAGTATTTCGGTAGTCTCACTGTCTTCATCACCGAGCCTTATTCAATGTCACCCTAACAGGTTTCAATAACTCTCCTGGAGAAATGTTGGGGATCTTATCCATCTATGGGCTGACTGTGCGCCTCTCAATTCATATGTTGAAATCTTAATCTTTGAGGTGATGGTATTAGGAGGTGATAGCTCTAAGGAGATGATTTGTTCCCTCTTGAATGGGATGAGAGTTGCCTTGCCTCTTTCCACCATGTGTTGACATAGTGAGAAGGTACCATCTATGAACCAGAAAACAGGCCCTCATGGGAATCAAATCTTCTGGCACCTTGAGGTTGCACTTCCCAGCTTCCAGAGTTGTGAGCAGTCAATTTCTATGGCTTCTAAACTAGCCAGCTTATGTGGTGTTCTGTTCTAAGAGGCTGAATAGACTAAGACATGTGTCTCTTTACTTTCAGAGAGCCCAGAGTCTCATACTCTGAATGTCAACAGTTATCAGGAAGAAGTCAGAAGTCCTGCCTTCCCGGACACCCTACTACACTCTTTCTCAAGTCTTTGCTTTACTTGATAATTGTTTTTGTGGATTATCAGCAGCGAGAGGATGTTCTGAGAGCTGTCAGCAGAGTGTCAAGGAGAGTGACTGAGCAGCACGTATCATTTCCTTGTGACCTTTACTTGATTGTGCCTTTGAACAGCGCGACTTTCTCAAGATAAGGTAAAGAGGAAAACGTCTTTCAGGAAGAGGAAACATCTTTATCTACTACAAATATTTATTGAACACCACTATAGTGTTTTGAGTCTATTTTAAGATAGTTGGAATATTTTGAATGTTTGTCAGTACAGAAAAATTCACAGAAAAATACACATTATTCAATTTTCCCTGGATGGTTAATGTTTTCCAAAAGCCCAAAGCCATGTGAGTTATGTCCTAGTATTTCAATTTACTTATAATGAACCGCTCCAAAACGTAGTGTCTTAAAAAACAGTTGTTTTATTATTTTTCGTGACTCTATGGGTTTACCTGCCCGTAGCTGGGAGGTTCTTCTATTCCTGTGATGTCAGCTGTGGCTGCCATCATCTGGGAGCCAGCTGGTTTGCAGTATTCGAGATTCTTCCTCACATGACTAGCCAGTGGTGCTGGCACCAGACTTTGAGCTCAGCCCAGGTGTCTACCAGAATGCCTAGACTCCTACATATGGCCTCTCCACGGAGCTCGGGCTGGCTCCTCACAGCCCGGCACCTGGGAGTGTTCCTAAGAGAGCAAGCCCCAGTGTGCAAGCACTTATGAAACCTCTACTTGCGTCTTGCTCGCTGAAGTCCAATGGCCACATCCATGTACATGGCCACGCCCGGAAGGTGGGCGGGATCCCACAAAGGTGAGAATTCTGGAGACTGCACTCACAGAGGTCCACCAGAGTCACAGTCGGCCACTCCCAGAGTCTCATCTCAATCCCAGGAGAGCAGAATAGCATCTTAGAACCTTGAAATGTGAAGGGACCTGAGAGATTTTGGACTTCGGCTTCTCTGTTTTGTGAAGAAGCAAACAGACTCAGTGAGTGTGATTTACTTGCCCAGAGTGGCAACTCAAACTGGGCTGTACATTGTAAAAGTGATCTGGGGCCGTGCTCTGCTGTGGCACCCTCTCTGTTGTGGGTGTGGGGAGCAAACCGGACTAGACTGAGTTACTGGAATTAAGACTTATTCTATGCATCTGCTCTCCCACAATATGGCGCTGGGAGAGGAGGCAACAGCTTCTACCCAGCTGCCTCTCACCAACTTGACAAGCTGCAGGACCTGCTCCTGATTGAAGGAGAGCAGTGTACTCGGCGTGTGGGCAGCCGAGTTGGGATTGGCGGAGGAGGACTATAAAGGAGGAGAGAGACGGCATGCACGAGGAACATCTAAGGGGAACATCTGAGGAACACCTGTGCAGCCCCTGAAGAGAGCCGGCCGGCGGTGTGCCGCTCCCCTGCGGAAGTGGGGAATGTGGCTAGGGGGAACTGCCCTTCCACGGAGGTGGAAGGGATAGTAGCCAACCCGGGAAGAACCAGCAGCAAACCCGGGGAGGGCCGAGCAGACAGAAAGAACAGCGCAGGGTCCTGTGTCGTTCCTCCACGAAGAGGGGGAGCGACAGTGGGTGGGTCCCGCCTCTGCCCTCACAGAGCCCACCCTCTACAGGGCAAGCCTGTGGTTTTAGGTCTCCTCATGGCCTATGCCACTCGTTAACCATGGCACTTCTCTGCCTTCCCTTTGTTAATTAAGTGTGTAATGACTGTATTAAAGTGAGTTTCAGGTTCTAATTTATGACGCAGTAGTTATATTTTAATGTACACTTTATGGCACATTGGAGTCCCTCAGTCATCACCATGTGCTCCTCTAATCCGGCCTGCTTGGTAATACTTGCCGAGAATTTTATTATTTTAAACAATTATAAGGATTTATAGTTACCTGACTCTTTACATTTGTGAAATATTTTTGTTCATATCTACTATTTATGTGAAGCCCAGTCCTTTGTCAGGAATACAGCCTCTAATCATGACATTGCTCCTATGGGAAAATGTAATTTGCTTTTCAATGATCCACTTTATGTTCTGGTCTCCAGGAACGGGCTCTTCTGCAATAAAAAGCAAGTAGGGATTGCATTCTCTGGAATTTTTTGCCAATTGCCTGGCACAGGAGGACCAGTATTTATAAAGTAGTTCTAATCTTTCTGTTGACATGTGAAATCTGAGTGAGGAATTAATGACAGATTTCCCTTACTTAGTGTGGGGGGATGGATAAGGGAGCAAAAATAGGAGTGGAGAAAGCACTGTGGTTCTCTCCACCATCAGTGGCACTCTCCAAGTCCTGTCTTTGTTTGGTGTCTCTCATGTTGGGTCTTCCTTCCTGGGGTTAAAAGGCAATAACAGAAATGAGTGGCCTGTGAGAGGGGTCTGGGTGTGCTGCTGGATGACAAGGCAGGCTCTGGGCCATCCTGAAGGGCTTTCTGGTGGAGGCAGCGTTTCAGCTGGGACCTGAGGGGTGAGGAGATTTCAACAGGGGAAGAGGTGCATAGGATTTTCCAGGAAGAAGGAACAGGCTATGCAAGGGGTTGGAGGGAGAGTGAACAGGAACATTGAGGACCCCAAACAAGCTAAGTCTGATTGGCGAGTAAGGGAAAGAGAAGGGGGAGGGAAAGGCCTGAGACCAGAAGTGCACACACATGTGCCCAGTGACTACGGCCCACACGTGCCACTGAGGAGTTTGGGCTTCACTTGCTAGAGAATGGGAAGATGCTGGAGGGCCGGTGACCTGAGCAGGCCCCCACTAGCTATTGTCTGGAGGGGGAATTGAGTGGGAACAAACTGAAGACAGGAATCCTGCTGATGGACGTGGTGACCTGGCCAGCAGAGAGCGGTGGGTAGATGGGAAAGACATTCAGACATTCAGGAATCACTAGAATGCTGTACTTCATATCAGGGGACCAAAGAGTGGTAGATACTGGGTTCTGGGACTCTGGAGGGTGGTTCAGGTGAGTCACCAGCATGGAGATGAAACTGGAAACCATGAGAGGATGAGATCGCTCAGGACAGTGACAGAATCAGGGGCTCAGAGTGAACCCCAGAAAAGCCCTTTCTCTGGGCTCAGTCCCATCTCCGAGAGAGAGAGAGAGAGAGATCCTGGTTGCTCTGCTTTGCGGTAATGTACAATGACTTCCATTTAATATGTGTTTGTGTTAGGTAGGAAGTTAGAAACTAGCCTATGTGTGTGTGTGGTGGGGGGCAGGGGGTGCAGCTAAGGAAAAAACACTTTTTCGGAGAAGAATTTAACAGCCCGAGAAGCACACCTTGGAAGCAGCTCAGGATTTTATACTACAAACTCCTGCCCACACTCTAATGACTTTCCAGGTGGTCTCAGCCTTTCCCCCAAGGAAACGCCACAGGAGAATCCTCTCTGCTCGGCACCAGATGGGTTACCTGGCCTGGCAACACTGAGCAGTAAAACCTTTCCGGCCTTCCTCTAAGGAAGGCACCTAGGGGAAGCGCTTCTGCGTGGTGCCAGGTGGGCTACCCAGTCTGATGGCACGGAGTAGGGAAACCTTGGGAGGAATTTTGCATAATTCACACTCAGCAAACCCTTTGCCCAGGAGAAGGACTAGAATTTACACTAGTTGCTTATACCCGCCCTGCCTCCCTCCTCTAGGAGGCTATAGGTAGGGTCTGTGAATTTTGTGCAAGCCTGGTGGGCTGGCCTCAGGATTATTGAATAAACCGGTTTAGGTTCTCATTGTCAAAAACTTAATAATTCCAGTTATATTATATTAGATTTATCTTTGTAGGACCAAAAACAAAACAAAAACAAAACAAAACCCAAAACAAAAAAAATCACATTAAAGTGCTTTTTTCTCTTTCCAAAACTCCAAAACAAAAAGGCAATATGCTTTCAACCCCAGTCTGTAGAGACACAGAAAGTGGGTGGATAGGTTCGAAGTGTGGTCGCTCTACAAGCCAGCTTTTGGCCATGAGAGGCGTGCATCCCAGCCAGTGTCAGCTTACAGTCCCCTCCCCAGTCCCAGCCCTACATCGGGGCCCCTGAGCCCCTCCTGACCTCCAGGCTTGAATGTACTCTCTCCCTATCAACTACTGTCCTGTAAGGGTGTCCTCTTCCTTTTCAGCTGACATTTACTGTGTCTTGTGTACGTGCCAGGTGCTGCTCCAAGACTTCTAGATGTGGTCACACACTCACTCCTTAAAAGGCAGTAAGTTCTCACCCTTATTTTGCAGAAGAGGAAACTGAGGCATAGGGACATTAAGTACACATTCAGCATCACGTGGCAAATCAATGACAGAGCCTGGGCTCAGGCCGGGAAGGTATGATGCCAAAGACTCTGCCTTTTAAAATTTTGTTTTAAATTTATTTATTTGAAAGGCAAAAGAGACAGATGGACAGAGAGCTCCCACCTGCTGGTTCACTCCCTAAATGCCTGCAATGGCCAGGGCTGGAGCCGGGACCCAGAAATTCAGTCCTGGTCTCCCACGTGGGTGGCAGGGACCCACCCACTTGAACCTGCTGCCTCTGAAGGTGTCCACTGGCAGCAAGCTGGACCTGGGAGCCAGAGCTGAGAATCGAACTTGGGTACTCCAACATGGGATGCAGGCATTTTAACTGCGAGGTTAGAAACCTGCCGCACACCTGTGCTTTTTATCACTGTGTTATTCTGCCTCCCATTTGGTGCCCCTGTGTGGCCTCTCTGTGAACTCTGCAGCTGTGTCTTCTCTCTCACCTTTTTTACAGCCTCCTTCAGGCATCCTGATGCATATACTTCCATAGCACTGGGGTTGGTGCCTTGCCTCAAACAGGAGCTCAGTGAATATTTGTCAGATGATAAAATGCCAAAATATAGGTCATGATAAATTATGTGATTCTCCAGATGTGTTAAGGACTATTTAAAAGATCTCCTATTGCCTCTCATGAATCTAGGAAGAACAGTTTACAAAACACTTGATTATGATTTGATTCTCAAGATGCCCACATACAAGAGTGTGCTTGTTTCATAGCTGGGAAAATAGACACTGACACAAAGAAGTTGACTCATCTGGTAGGCTGGTCCCAGGACCCAGGTCCCTAGTCCCATAACATTCAACCTTCAGATTTCTCAATTGAATACAGGTCCAGGTCTGGCTCTGACTCGTTCATTAATGAAACCAGGATTTTTTCTTTTGTGAATGGATACCATTGGCAGCTTTGAAAGGATTGAAGGAGGCAGTGTGGGCTGGGACACACACTGTTCACACATTAGACCCTCTTCTCAGGGTCTGAGAAGAGGACAGTACCTGATGATGATCCCGGAAATGAGTTTACATTAATGCCACATTTATTCAACGGTATCTCCATCCGTAGTGGCAAATGAAGTGATGGCAGAAGGTAAATACCAGAAAATTTAGGACATTCATTCTATAGCGAGAAACGTGGAGGAGTCTCTCCGTGGTGGGGGAGGTTTCCAGGATGCAAATCAGAGACACTTTTTATTTTGGAGGGAAAAGGTAAAAAAGAGGAAATATTTGTTCTGGCCCAAGTGAAAATTCAGATCCAAGCCAGGATTGGACCTGGAAGGCCTGGCTCGGAAACGCCTTGTGTTTGTACTGCAGGTTTTTCCCCCTTCATGAAGCAGATGCTTATACAAGCATTACCAGTGTTGTCAATAATACTGTAACATTTGCCTTCCATCCCTTTGTTGCTTGGGGAACATGTTGGGTTTCGGCACATTTAGCTTTGCCATTTACTTCACAAATCGCAGCTGTGTAGTGCTACAACGAAGTCGATTTTACCGAGAATAGAAATTTGAAGGGGAAAAAAAAATTCTCCCAACAACCTTTCCAGTAATCGCAGGCCTGAAATTCTTTGGAGTGCGTGTGTGTGTGTGTTTTCCAAACAACTCGGTTTCAGTACAATGATGCTTCACTAAGAACCTTCCTGCAAATTTAATTCAAAGGGGAAAGCTTTGTTGTTATTAAACACAATGGCAGTTTGTACATCTCCACATCATTATGTTGCTTCTCATTATGGTAATTCATTTGCTTCTGCTTTGTATGGATATCAAATAAAAATCACTTTCGCTCCTGGCAAGTGATTGTCATTATAGAGACTCTCTGGGAGCCCGGCTAAGCGGTGCTTGGTGTCATAGCAAACACAATTAGCAAAATGGCATCCAGAGTTGCCTCACAGAGCTGCCCCGTGGTGAGCCTCCGCGTTTCCTATTTAGCACGGCTGCAGGTTCCCAGGCTTTGCCGTGTGCCTCCTCTGTTTCCATCTTTGTACCATTTTATATTCAAGTAGAGCACTATGAGGACTTCGTGTGAATTTTTTTCCCCCTGATTTGACCTTGCTCTGCACTTGCTGGGCTCGGAGAGCCCTGAGTTACTTTTTCCTCCTAGGAGCCTGCAGTTCTCTGAAGGGTCAAGGACAACATCACCAAATGTCCACTCTGACATCACTGTGGCTTTTTCCCTCCCCAGCGAGGGTATTGGGCTTTGCATGGGGTTAGAAAAAAGCCTTTAAAGACCACTATTTATTATTAGTCTATATTAAAAAAGAAAACATTGTACATCCTTCTGTAATGGAAGGATCTGAGGCCCGGCGCAGTTGAGGCCCTGAGAGGTTGGAGTCCCTTCGCCTTGGCTTAGCCTAGGTGGGACTGATGGCGTCAGCAGTCTCTTGGGGATAAAGACATAGGGGTGGCTTTGCCTGACCTCTAGAGGAAGAGGTGTTCTAGATTTCGCTGCAATGGTTCTTCTGTGTGGAGGCTCGAGATGTGTTTGACATCACCTCCTCCTGAGTGCCCTATGTCATTATTCCGGGATGCTCTCTGCACACGTACAGAGGAGTTCTCCAGAGTGCCTGGGGGCCACGCTGTAGTCTTCCCAGTGGCTGCTCCAACGTCTGCTTCCTCCTCTTGCTGCTCTTCTCTGTCCTCCTCCTCCTTTTTCTTTCTTGCTCCCTCCTTCAGAGGGGAATCTAAACAGCCAGTGCCCTGGGAATGATCACCGCTCCAAGAAGTTTGCTTTAAGTCAATCAGGGAATCAGGATTCCTCCTCCAGGTGATTGCTTTAGGATGCCCTTGAGATGCGGTTCTGGACACTGAGATCGGAGGGGGAATCTGGGAGATTCTGGAATGGGTCTCTCCTCTTATTCAATGAGACACATTAAGAGAAACAGATCATGTCTCTGTGTGTTGTAAAGATTTATTTGAAAGAGTTGTGGGGGCGGGGAGGGGGGGAGGAAGAAAGGGGGAGAGAGAGAGGAGAGAGATATCTCCCATCCACTGGTTCGAGGGCTGGGCCAGGCTGAAGCCAAGAACCAGGAGCTTCCTCCAGGTCTCCCATGTGGGTGGCAGGAGCCCAAGGACTTGGGCCATCTTCGGCTGCTTTCCCAGGCCATTAGCAGGGACTTGGATGAAAAGTAGAACAGCTGGGACACAAAACAGCACCCGTATGGGTTGCTGGCATTGCAGGTAAGCCACAATGCCAGCCCTGAGAAGCAGTTCTTTTGAAGTTATGGTGTGAGGATGTGATATATGGAACTGTGGCAGCAATGTTGTGATAACTAGAGTCAGCCATGAGAATAATAGTGAACATGCTAAGAATGGCCTAGTAGGAAGATGGAAATAATCTAGAGTTTTGATGTGTTGCTGAGTCATTGAATTATCCTAGCCTGAAATCTGCCTTTAAATAAGATTTCTTTAAATTAGATAATAGGTGTCGGGGCTGGCACTGTGGCTGGCACTGAAGCGCCAGCATCCCATGTAGGCGCCGGCTCTAGTCCCAGCAGCTCCACTTCCGATCCAGCTCTCTGCTGTGGCCTGGGAAAGCAGTAGAAGATGACCCACGCCCTTTGGCCCCTGCACCCACGTGGGAGACCTGGAAGAATCTCCTGGCTCCTGGCTTTTGATTAGTGCAGCTCCGGCCTTTGCGGCCATCTGGGGAGTGAACCAGCAGATGGAAGATCTCTCTGTAACTATGTCTCTTTCTCTGTAACTATGTCTTTCAAATAAATAAAATAAATCTTAAAAAAAAGATAATAGATATCTGATCTTTTGAGACTTTTAGTCTGGTTTTCTCCTATTTGTAGCCCCAAACCACCTACAACTCACAAATTACTGCTCTACTTTCTAACTTTAGAAATTATTTTGCTGGAAGATTCTATAACTTCATTATCTTATTTTAAAAAAGGATTATTATTTTTATTTACTTGGAAAGTTGGCTGACAGAGGGATACAGAGATCTTCCATCCACTGGTTCACTCCCCACATGCCTGCAATGTCGGAGCCGGGTTGAAACCAGGATCCTGGAATTCCATCTGCGTCTCTCATGTGAGCAGCGGGGCACTGGCACCATCATCTCCTCCTGAAGTGGGAAAAGTCAGGGAGACGGATTAGCTTCATGAGCTGGAGGCCACACCTACCCCACCCCCGTGTAACCCTATCTTCAGTCAGATGACCCCTCCCCCCACGCAGCTCCCCTTACCTGGGACCTGGGGGCAGCACTATATAACCACTTCCCTTTTAGAAGCTAATAAAAAGCCTAGGAAAGAGAGGGCTCTCCCTTTCTCTCTCCTCACCTCAGGCACCAGGATGAGCAGAGCAGGGTCTGTAATTCCTGGCCCACTCTCCCTAAATGAAGCCCTGCTGTGCCTGCGCAATCTTCTCACCTTCTCAGTAGACCTCACCATGCTGCATGCTGCGTTTGTGCCTGTGCTTAGAATTCTCTAAGAAAAAGGCTGGGATGTTCATGTTGGCCCAAGCCAGCCCACAACACTCCACCCAGGATGCGTTAGAGAGAAATTGGACCTGAAGCAGCGGTGCCTGGATTCCATCCCAGACACTCTGATAGGCGATGCAGGCTTCACTCGCCGTGGCACAGTGCGCACTGGAATTATTTTCTTTTTGAAATCTAAGTCTTGGATTGGGTGGTAGTTTTTCTGAGGGTGTGCTTTATTCGTTGTGTCATCCCTGGCACCTAGCACAGAGCTGTTACGTCCAAGTGCTGCGTGCATCGCCTGGTCAGTAAGTACTGTGTCTTAAGAGTGCTCGTTTTTGGAAATGCAGGCTCCCTGACTCAGTCTCTTCACACTCAGTGCAGATGCGCCAGCCAAGGAAGAAGAGTGGGTTGACAGCTGTCACTCACCTTGATTCAGAAGTCAGACACCATCTGCGATGCCGTCTTGGGAAGTAGTCAGCTTCCGCAGATGAGCTTCGTCCAGGAACATTTATTTGGCGTCATTCATTTGTGTGTTATTTTTTTTACAGGCAGAGTGGACAGGGAGAGAGAGAGAGAGACAGAGAGAAAGGTCTTCCTTTGCTGTTGGTTTACCCTCCAATGGCCGCCGCGGCCGGCGCACGGCGCTGATCCAAAGGCAGGAGCCAGGTGCTTCTCCTGGTCTCCCATGGGGTGCAGGGCCCAAGCACTTGGGCCATCCTCCACTGCACTCCTGGGCCATAGCAGAAAGCTGGCCTGGAAGAGGGGCAACCGGGACAGAATCCTGCGCCCTGACCGGGACTAGAACCTGGTGTGCCGGCGCCGCAAGGCGGAGGATTAGCTTATGAAACCGCGGCGGTGGCCTTTTATTTGGCTTTTATACCTTCAGAAAACACAATCCTGAAAGTATACATTTTTTAGGGATATTTTAGCTGTGTTTCAGACAACGCCTAGGGGAATTCCATGTTTTGTTTTATTTTTGATAAACCAAAAAAAAAAAAAAAAAAGGAAAAAAGAAAGAAAAAGGAACTCTGAATAATCATTCTCTAATTCATCTAAAATTTGCATATGTATGTACAGGAAACTCATTTTCATACAGAACTCAAACAGTCCAAATTACTGTTCTTTTCATACATTTATTGGCCATTAGTATTTCTTCTTTTGAAAAATGTCTCTTCAGGTCTTTTCCCCATTTCTTAACTGGATTTGTTGTTTTTTATTGTGGAGTTCTTGAGTTCCTGTTGCACTCCGGATATAAATCCTCTGTCAAATGAGTGGCCTGAAAATATTTTCTCCCTTTCTGTTGGATGTCTCTCCATTCTGTTGATTGTTTCCTTTACTGTGCAGAAGGTGGGAGTGCCTAAATATGTACAATTGTTGTTAATTAAAAGTAAAACTGTCCTGGGGGCCAGCACTGTGGCGTGGTGGGTAAAGATGTCCCCTGCTTGCAGTGCCAGCATCCCATATGGGTGCCGGTTCAAGTCCTGGCTGCTCTACTTCTGATCCGGCTCCCTGCTATGGCTTAGGAAAGCAGTAGAAGATGGCCCAAGTCCTTGGGCCCCTGCACCTGCATGGGAGACCCAGTGGAAGCTCCTGACTCCTGGCTTTGGATCAGCCCAGCTCTGGCCATTGCAGCCATCTGGGGAGTGAACCAGCAGATGGACGACTTCTCCCTCTCTCTCGCTCTCTGACTCTACCTCTCTGTAGCTCTGCCTTTCAAATAAATAAGTAAATCTTTTTTTTTCTTTAAGATTTTATTTACTTGTTTCAGAGATAGAGTTACAGACAGTGAGAGAGAGAGAGAGAGACAGAGAGAGAGGTCTTCCTTCCGTTGCTTCACTCCCCACATGGCCGCAACGGCCTGAGCCGCGCCGATCTGAAGCCAGGAGCCAGGTGCTTCTTCCAAGTCTCCCATGTGGGTGCAGGGGCTCAAGGACTTAGGCCATCTTTTACTGCTTTCCCAGGCCATAGCAGAGAGCTGGATCGGAAGAGGAGCAACTGGGACTAGAACCGGTGCCCATATAGGATGCCGGCGCTGCAGGCAGAGGATTAACTTACCGCTCCACGACGCCAGCCCCATTTTTTTTTTTAAACTGTCCTTTTTTGGGTTTGCATTTACTTTTATGGAGGAGAAAAAATGAAAAGTAGATGATGTGTTGTGAAATTTTTGCTTTAGATTTTCCACATTATGTCATAGAATGTGTGTACATTCAACCCAATCCTCTAAGCTTTTTCTTTCTTTCTAATTTTTTGTTTATTTGCAAGGCAGAGAGCTAGACATACAGAGAGCTCCCATTTACTGCTGTACTCTTCAAAATGCCTACAATAGCTGGGGCTGGGCCAGGCTGAAGCCAAGAGCCCTGAACCCAATCTGTATCTCCCATGTGGGTGACAGGGACCCAAGTATTTGAACTATCACCTGCTGCCTCCCAGGGTGTGCACTAGCAGAAAGCTGGAATTAGATATGAAGCTGGGACTTGAATCCAGGCACTCTGAGATGTGATATGGACATGCCAAGTGGCACCTTGACTCTACACCAAATGCCCGCCCTCTCTGGGTTTTTATGAACACCAGTACAAGCCAGCTTTTAAGATAATCATGCATTTTTTAGAAACTGAAATTATTTGGAATGCTGGTTGTTCCAGATAGATCTCTAAAAGCTCATCTAAGCGCAGTGTGTCGGCAGTGAGGCGTCTGTTGGCGTGACCTAGAGTCAGGCTTTCCGCCCTCCTACCCTACCCTTTCGATGTCGTCGCCTGACTTGGAGACCAAGGGAAACCTTTATGCTCCCACTTCTTGGACTTTCCTGAAAACCTAAAAAAATTATCTTACTATTTTATTACTTGAAACATTTTTATACTTTTTTAACTTTATTCACCTGGATTTAGAGTGGATGTGGTCTGTCCTTCCAAGGGTGTATGTGTTGGAAGCTTGGTTACTAAAAGTATGGAACAGAGAGAGTGGTACAACTGGCCCAGCAAAATTCCTCAACCATGAACATTTTGATGGTTGGTGTTATATTATGGGGTCTCACATCTGGGATATTCTAGCTTAAGTCAGGAAGCAACCGACCCCTGCATGTAGCCCCAGACTGAACGAAGCCCACCTTTCTATCATAAAGAGCCAACCAATGGAGCTCCTCAGACCGGATGGGAGCCTACACACCCACTGAACATGCACCTCTCATCCCCCAACTTTGAACTGTAAGAGTCACTGCCTTTACTGCCCTGGGGGTTGGGGAAGGAGCACTAGCTATCTGGCTCCTGGCTCTGCACTTAGTGATAAAAGCCTTCTGTCCTTCACCATCCCAGTGTCCGTGATGGGTTTTCTGTGGATCAAGTGAGTGAACCCACTTTGGGGGTTACATAGCAACTCCTCCAGCTAGTTTTGGGGTTGTTGTGTAACAAAACCACACTCTCCCATCCTATCTCTGGAGTCAAGATGGATGACCAGAAATCATACTAACTGAAGACAGATCTGGTCTGTCTATGATGCTGTTTTGGTAACTTGGCAGGTTTTTGTATTTTTTTTTTCTATCTACTTTGTACCCAAAGGAAGCTCAAAGTGGATCTTCCTATCTATCTTAGGGGAATTCAAGGCCATCAACATTCGTCTCTCCTTACTTAAAGTCATTGTAAATGTTTACTCTTTTATCTCTTCTAGGGCATAAGGCACAGGCAAGGACTAAGTGTTCAGCCTTCTGGGTCAAGGCCCCTGGTGGCAATGCTCCTGTTTCCCACGCTTCCTGGAGACTTACTGGTGCATATCTCACATTTTGATTTTTCTAGTCTATGAAACTTTCCTTCCATGCAGAGTTCCAGATCTGAGTCTCTAAGAGGACATCGGTCAGGCCCAGCCTGCTAGGACACACTTTCTCAGGAACCTGTAAGCACTAATGCACAGGTTCTCCAGAGGGGCCTTGGGAGAAAGGTGAATGGATTTAAAGATAATATAGTTTTTAGAGTAACATTTATGTTATCAAATAATATGGCCTATTATTTCCCAAATGGCCAGAAGTGAGCCAGTAATGTCCCTACTGTTCCAGAAGTGGGAGCACTCAGTATGCCCTGTGGTGGGCTGCCCAGGGTGAACCAGCCTGTCTTCCACAACACATCACAGGTGACTGTTAGCCATTCTCAGACACACACACAGCAGTCAACTGTGTGTGACAATGTGCAGATTCATTGGAAAATACACCGGAGGGCTTTCCATTTTTCCAGATTTTGAGTCAATACTCTTAGACGTAGAGCTTGCCTCTTGTTTACAAAGAAATCAAAGCGTTTTCTGAGCATTCAGTGTGATGCTGCACACAGGCTCCAGTGTCAGGTGTGAGGACAGCAAGCATCACACCCAGCTGGCAAGCATCAATGAGAGTGGCCGCTGTAGGGGCGGCTCTGACAGAGTCCACGGTGACCACCGTCAGGTAATCATGCGTAAGGACCTTCTCCTCCCAACTCTCAGTTCTCCTCTCCTCTCCTCTCCTCTCCTCTCCTCTCCTCTCCTCTCCTCCCCTCTCCTCTCCTCTTATCTCCTCTTCCGTTCTAACTCCTAAGTCTTATCTAATCTCTACTCTCCTCTCCCCTTCTTCTCTCCTCTCCTCTCCTCTCCTCTCCTCCCCTCCCCTCCCCTCTCCTCTCCTCTCTTCTCCTCTCCTCTCCTCTCCCCTTCTTCTCTCCTCTCCTCTCCTCTCCTCCCCTCCCCTCCCCTCCCCTCCCCTCCCCTGCTCTCCTCTCCTCTCCTCTCCTCTCCCCCTCCCCTTCTCCTCTCCTCTCCTCTCCCCTTCTCCTCTCCTCTCCTCTCCCCTTCTCCTCTCCTCTTCTCTCCCCTTCTTCTCTCCTCTCCTCCCCTCCCCTCCTCCTCTCCTCTCCTCTCCCCTTCTCCTCTCCTCTCCCCTTCTCCTCTCCCCTTCTCCTCTCCTCTCCTTTCCCCTTCTTCTCTCCTCTCCTCTCCTCTCCTCCCCTCCCCTCCCCTCCCCTCCCCTCCCCTCCTCTCCTCTCCTCTCCTCTCCTCTCCTCTCCTCTTCTCTAAAAAAGATTTATCTTGTTTATTTGAAATGCAGAGTTACAGAGAGAGGGGGAGAAAAGATAGAGATCTTTCATCTGCTGATTCACTCCCCAAATGGCTGCAATAGCCAGGGCTGGACCAGACCAAAGCCAGGAGCTTGGAACTCCATTGTGATCTCCCATGTGTGTGGCAGGAGCCCAAGCACTTGGGCCATCCTCCACTGCTTTCCCAGGCACATTAGCAGGGAGTTGGATTGGAAGTGGAGCAACCAGGACTCAAACCAGCACCCATATGGGATGCTGGTGCTGCAGGCTGGGGCTTTAACTTACTGTGCCACAGCGCTGGCCCCAATTTTTCTATTTTCATTTAGGGTTGACACCAGTGACTCCATTTTAACTTCTGTATTTTTGTCCTGTTATCCTTCTCATGTTTTCTTTTTAAGATTTATTTATTTACTTGAAAGGTAGAGTTAGGGAGAGGGAGAGATAAAGAGAGATCTTCAACCTACTGGTTTAATCCCCAAATGGCCACAATGGCTAGAGCTGGGCCAGGCCAAAGCCAGAAGCCAGGAGTCAGGAGCTTCATATAGGTCTCCTATGTAGGTGCAGGGGCCCAAGGACTTGGGCTATCTTCCACTGCTTTCCCAGGGGCATTAGCAGGACACTGTATTGGAAGTGGAGCAGTTGTGACTCAAACTGGCACCCATAGAGGATGCTGGCATTGCAGGCAGCAACTTAACCTGCTACACCACAGCACTGGTACCCAATCTTTTTCTTGAAAATACCATTGATCAGTCATCCTTTACCAGGCTCTGTTCCACATCACCTGGATGAATCTGGTCCTGGTTTTTGGTTTTACTTGGTCCCACATAGAGGGGGAAGATTGACAACAAAGAGACAGTGTTCAAACACTATCAGCCATGCTTGAGCAACAAAGCAGTCTTAGAAGAAGTTTTACCTGGGACCCATTGTTAAAAATAGCTGCATCCCTTCTGCAGATTAGAGTCATCGTTAAAAAGTGCTGGGCCGGCATTATCTTACGAGGGGTTCCACTTTTGTAGAATTCTAACAGGCCAAAACTCAAAAAGAAAACTGCTTCTGAGGTCACTCACCCCAAACCAAATTGCAAAAACTAGTTTGACAAGTTACAAAGTGATTCCTAAAAGCAGGGATCTCCTTCTGGCTGCAACAGGCAAAGTGCAAGCTAGCACAGAAGGCACTACCTCACACCATCATGCAGGGGTTGCTATCAAAGGCCAAACCCTTTCAAGCTGAACTTAAGCCTATTTTCTTGCACCCAGCAAGCAACTTAGGCCAACAATGTCTGGTCAACAGCCTTCTGCTGCCGGCGCCGCGGCTCAGTAGGCTAATCCTCCGTCTTGCGGCGCCGGCACACTGGGTTCTAGTCCCGGTCGGGGCACCGGATTCTGTCCTGGTTGCCCCTCTTCCAGGCCAGCTCTCTGCTGTGGCCCGGGAGTGCAGTGGAGGATGGCCCAAGTGCTTGGGCCCTGTACCCCATGGGAGACCAGGAGAAGCACCTGGCTCCTGTCTTCGGATCAGCTGATGTGCCGGCCGCAGCGGCCATTGGAGGGTGAACCAACGGCAAAGGAAGACCTTTCTCTCTGTCTCTCTCTCTCACTGTCCACTCTGCCTGTCAAAAAAAAAAAAAAAAAAAAACAAAAAACACCAACCAGCCTTCTGCTAGACTGTCTCTGAGACAAATAAGTGTTCAGACCCCTGCAAAATGGCTCTCAAGGGTGGCTGTGGGCCAGGGTCCAGTGTGACGAGGACGAGATGCCCACTAGAGACCGTAGTGCGTTCATGGTCACCATTTTGTTATAGAACAACCTCCAACTCTAGTTTTGGGGTTACATAGCAACTTCTCCAACGAGTACTGGGGGTTGTTCTATAAGTTATGTACAAACTGCACGGAGTGAGGAGAGGAGGGGGAGTCCAGCCATGTGCTGCCCCTCTCCCTGCATGCCTGAGCTGGAGCCGCTGTGACTGTGTTCCTTGCTCCCACCTTCCCACACCAGTTCTTCTTTCCCCATGTTTTTTCTCTTCACCTCCCTCTCTCAGGTCCTCTCTCCACTCTGTCTCCTCTAACACTCACTAAAACCCCCCGGTAGTGTACCTGCTGCGTTGTACCTGTTTCTCTGAAGGGCAAGTGAAGGTCACTCCCATCCTTTGAGTATAGACAGAACACCTACTGGGGGCCCTGGGCAGTGGTGGTGGGGCAGAGCTGGTCCTCCCTGCCCCTCTGGCTTGCTTGCTCTTTCCTCCCTACTGCTTGAGTGTGGGATCAGGGATGCTGTTGCCAAGTAGATGCGCCCATTGCTCAGGCCCACTGTGCTGTGCTGCTTGTGCTTGGCATAGAGGCCCTGGAGTCGGGAGTGCGTGAAGGTTTAAATCTAGACCTTAATGTGCCTTTAAGCTATTTGCCCTGGAGTGTGTACAGTGGAAGAAAAAAATGCCTTATTCATCCAATAGACACCTTCGTTTTGGTTGGCTCAGCCATGCACGAAAAAGCAAGATATCCTTTCTTCTAGTTTGTATCCCGTCCCTGGAATGATGAGCAAAGGTCCTGCCACTGTGCTGTGGGCTGAAGACCTGGCCAAGGCGTGCAGGAGAGGGGCCGATGCCATCCAGCCCCATTCCATCAGAGCCTCTGCCAGGGCTTCCCAGACCAACACGACTCCACCTATGACACAGGGAATGTTCGTTCTGGAAGGGCCAAGTAGATCCCCTGGGCGGAGAAGAGGCAGTGATTTACTCTGTGTCCTTTTGTTCCATGCAATGAGAAGACTCATAAATGAGGGCGGCCTCTGACTGCTCTCTCCCCTCTGACTTTCTTCCTTTCTATGCAGCCACAGTCTAGCTCCCCTAGCCCCTTTTGGGCAACTTTACCGCTGTCTGCCTAGCAGGAGAATTTTCATACCTGTGCCCGCAGACACTACTTTTGTCTCACACATTAGAGGGCCTCCAGCTTTTGTGAAATACAAATGGCGTCTCCTCTTCGCTTGGTGGTCACCACTTCACAAGGCTGGTGTTGGTTCCTGTCCTCTGCAATGAGGGTGGTCCAGTCAGTTTAGTTGACTCTGGAGCGAGAGTTTCCTCACTAGCTGCCTACGAATCCAGCCCAACTTACCAAATCTAGCATTGATTTTTTTTTAATGTCCATGCAGCTTAGTCTCCTATGAAGAAAGCATGTTTTATCTTGTTAGCATGACCTTGACTTTCCTTAGCATGATTGTGCTAAGGAACAATTGACATGTTCGTGACTTATTTAACAAGGGTCACTATACTACCTCTAAATGGCTTTCTGTTTCCCACTCGGTAGTACTAGTTCTGATTATATCATTTATTATTTACGCACTTCAACACAAGGTCAATGTAGGTTCTAGTTTAGCAAGTCATATTGGCTCTGACTCTTTTAAAAATATTTTTTGAAACAGTAATAGAGAGAGGGTGAGACAAAGAAATAAATCATCCATTTGCTGGTTCACTCTCCAAATGCTTACAGTAGCCAGGACTGGGCTAGACTAAAGGCAGGAACCAGGAACTCTGTCTCCCACGTGGTAGCAGGGACCCAAGTACCTGGACCATCTTCTACTGCCTCTCAGGTGTATTAGCAGGAATCTGAATGAGAAGCAGAGGCAGAAACAATCCCAGGCACTCCAACATGGGATGCAGGCTTTCTAGGTGGTGGCTTAACCCACTGTACCACAACACCCACCCCGACTTTGTTTCTGATGAAGTGCTGGACTAGCTTCTTCTATCTCCAGCGGGAGGAAAATCTATGAGCAGTGTTGTGCATTTTCCTGGGAGAGGAGGCTGGTGAGGAAGGACTGGGAGTGACCCAGGACCTAAAGAGCTCCCGAGCCCCCCTTTCCCCTTCCCTCCTGCCATCCCGATTTCCTCCACTCCTTTCCCTTTTCTTTCGCTTTCTTCTCTCCTGCTTTCCTCCTTACCCTGCTCCCAGGCTTTTTTTGTTTCTCTTCTGTCTTCCCTCGGTATCACCGGAACTTCCCAGAGGCCAATGGGAGAGCTGAATACAGAGTTCTGAGATTCCTGGAGTGCTCTCCTGAGATGATTGGAAGGGGAAGATGGGGAGTAGGGAACCCCCAGCAGCATCTGCAAGGGAAATGGGTCTCTGCTTTTTAGCACTCTGCTTGGAGCCCACCTGTCGAGCTAAGGAGTATGGGTAGGCTGAGTGAAGGCATTCAGGTACTGCCTGTTCCATAGGGTGGTGATGGATACGACATTGATCTGGACAATGGGGGCGCCACATCTGCTTCCCCTTCCACTCTAAACACTCACTCATTCCTGTTGATTACACCTCCTAAAATCATCACTACCCCCACCCTTTTTAAGATGTATTTATTTTATTTGAAAGGCAGAGTTACAAACAGAGAGGGAGAGAGAGATATCTTCCATCTGCTGGTTCACTCCTCAAATGGCAGCAATGGCTAGGGTTGTGCCAGGCCTCAGCCAGGAGCCTGGAACTCCAACCATGGCTCCCATGTGCGTAGCAGGGTCCCTAGTACTTGACCCATCTTTCACTGATTTCCCAGCCACGTTAGCAGTGAGCTGGATCAGAAGCAGAGTGGTCAGGCTCGAGCCGGTGCTTATTTGGGATGCTGTTGTCACAGGTGGTGGCTTAACCCACTATGCCACAATGCCACCACTTCCTTTCTTTATGTCCTTAATTTCTTTTTAATATTTGTTTATTTATTTGAAAGTAAGAATTGGAGGGAAGGAGGCAGAAAGAGAGAGAGAGAGAGGAATCGATTTTCCATTTGCCAGTTCACTCTCCAAATGGCTACAATAGCCAGGGTTGGGCCAGGCTGAAGCCAGGAGCTTGGAGTTTCACCTGCGTCTCCCTCCTGGGTGGCTGGAGCCCGACCACTTGGGCTATCTTCCACTGCTTTTCCCAGGCCATTAGTTGGGAGCTGTGTCAGAAAGCAGCACAGCTGGATGTGAGCCAGCATCCATATACAATGCTGTTGTCACACGTGGCAGCTTATCCCACTGAGCCACAAGGCCAGCCTCAGTGTCCTTCCTTCTTCAAAACAAGTCAACCAACTTAATTTGGGTTCCTTGGAAAAGCAGAGCCTGTAGAGAAGGCGTTGAGTGAAGGACTACATGTCAGAAAGAGCAGAAAAGAGCATTAGGAGTGAAAGAGGGAAAGGGTGAAAAGCCAGTATAAGTGAGCATTACTTAGGTTGTCGTGCTGGGCAATGAACACCCACAGGGCCCAGGTGGACCCCTGGGAGCCTCTGAGAAGCACGCACAATGCTCCCTAGAGCTGCCCACTGCAGAACAGGTGGTTGAAGGGCTGAGAAAAGACAGCGGCTGTGGGACTGTCTAGGATTGAGTCTGCCATAGAGTTCATTAAGAATGAACAACTCAGACTCTGGGGAATGAGCTCTATCAGTATGACCATTGCGCTCTCTAAGCCATGGAGGTTGAATTTCAACCTGTGAGTGGGTGGGAATGATTCCCTTGAAGGTCCTGGCTATTTCTACTCTCAATCATGCTTGGGGAAGAAAAGTGGGTCTTGAATTTTGGGGAAGAACACTGTCTGGGCCAGAGAATCAGGAGGCAAGTCTACTGGTGAAGTGGTGTAGAGATTCTCATCAGTGGTAGTGGAAAGTAGAGAACAGGGTGCGTCAATCCCATCACTACACGGGGCTCACCTGAGAGCCAAGCAGGGACCCTGACGTTAGCTTTGGGATCTGTGAGCTGTAGAAGTGACTGCAGTAATGTAGGAGCCACTTATTCGTATCACGGAGTTCTATACATACTGAATTTTCACTGGAGCTTTGGCCAGTAGCTTAGTCTTGACCACGCCTTTAAGGCAATCAGGGAGAGAACAGAGTCTAAGCTTGGAGAAGGACGGTCTAGTATGGAATAAGGAGGCATGAAAGTTCCGGAATTCCAGGGCTGGAGGACAGAGTGGTACAAGGATCAGATAAACCCTAGGACCAATTTGTAAACCACAAATGGTCCAAAGAATGGCCCAAGTTATTTGGGTTGAGAAAACCTACAGAAAGTTTTGATTTCCTTTTATAGTAGGTATTTGGGAGCCAAAAACCACTATGGTTGGAATAGAAAAAGAAATGTGACCTTATTTTGTAACTTAGTCAATGAAGTGGGGCATTGAAGTCACAAATCTAATGAAAGTTAGAAGAGTGCTTCACATGAAGCCTAACGTACGTTAGCCCTGACTTTTCTCTTCTGATCATAGAAACTGCACTTAGCCGAAGAGATAGAAAAGCACTTTGCAAGAAAAGTCAAATAATGTTATTCATCATTGTTAATGATAAATAGTAACCACAACAATAACGACAGCAAACTTGTCATGACACTCACAAATGCTGGCAACTTATTTGTTCTCGATGATTTCTGGACGTCCACTGCTCTTATTTTAATCTTTGTTTTGCTTTTAAAATTATCCGACTCATTTTAGTGTCAGCTTTAGTTGCTGCATTCATCAGCTTGGAGGGCCGGGAGCCTTGGACAAAAATGTCATTCGATATGTGTGATACATGCAGCTCTGCATCAGCAATCTATTTGCAAAATTGTCCAATTTGAAAGTGACACATTTGATTCACTTGACTTTCCTTTTTCTAGCACAGTAAAATTTGCAGGAATTCAAGAGGTGCTGGGCACCAGTCACCAAGGAGAAGGGACAATAAAGGGATGTGTAAAGCACTCCAGAGAAAATGGCTGTGCGTCATTAGTAGTCGAACTGTGCGATGAACCTCGTGAAGTTGAACTTGCCCAAACAAAGGCAATGACATCTGGAGGGGAATGGATTCTTTTCAAGTCTTCATGTTAACTTGTTGATTTTTCAACATGTTAACATAATTTATTCCAATCATTTAGTAGTCCCTAGTTATTGTAGAAAATCAGAAGCATAGCTCACTTAAATACATAGAAAAACAAACTAAAAATGAAAAGTAATTACCCATAATTTTGCCACCAGAGAGAACTATTATTTATATTTTGGTGTAATTCCTCCCATTTATTTTGGAGTGTGCAAATAAATTATTATTTTTATAACAAGGAAATAAATTGCACATTTAAAGGAAATCCTTATGCTAAAAGCCTGCTTGCAGACTGAACTCTGACTGTAACCCCACGGCCTAACTCGTGGGGGACACGTGTTGAATCGCTGGTGTTGAGCATTACGAAACCCAAAGGAGATCCAGTCGCCACCTGAAAGAAGTATTATGAACCAAGGCAGGATAAACAATGTAAAATTTGTTTTACTTATTTGAAAGATAGTGACATAGAGACAAAAACGGACACACAGAGGATCTCCCCTCTGCTGATTCTCTCTTTAAATGCCTGCAACAACGGGGGCTCTGCCAGGCTGAAGCCAGGATCTGGGAACTCCGTCTGGATCTCCCGCATGGTGGCAGGAACCTAAGTGCTTCAAGCATCACCTGCTGCTTCCCAGGGTGCTCATTAATGGGAAGCCAGAAGCAGAAGCTGAGCTAGACTGGAACCCACGCAGCTGACGTGGAATGCAGGTATCTGTGTCTGAACTACTATGCCAAATGTTTGTATTCATTTAAATCAAGGAGTAGTTATCCAGAAACTATGACGTGTCCAGCACTGAGTTAAATAACAGAGCTACTCTCTGCTGTGGCCCAGGAAGGCAGTGGAGGATGGCCCAAGTGCTTGGGCCCTGCACCCCATGAGAGACCAGGAGAAGCACCTGGCTCCTGCCATCGGATCAGCGCGGTGCGCTGGCAGCAGTGCGCCGGCCGCGGCGGCCATTGGAGGGTGAACCAACGGCAAAGGAAGACCTTTCTCTCGGTCTCTCTCTCTCTCACTGTCCACCCTGCCTGTCAAAAATAAATAAATAAATAAATAAATAAATAAATAAATAAATAAAAACAGAGCTGCAGCGAAAAAGGAGTAGATACGCAGATCCTGCCTTCAAGGCTCCTATGGTCTAGCAGACAAGGGGTGTGACTTGCACACAATAGGCAAAGATCCAAACCCTTGTCACACCGTTAAGTACCTCAGGAATTCAGAGGGCGTGAGAGGCATCAGGCAGGAGGAGCAAGTGTTGAGAGACGATTTTCAAGCTGGATTGTTTTAGGATAGAAGGGATCTGGAGAAGCTGACGTGGTGCAGCGGGTTAAGCCGCTGCTTATGACGCCAGCATCCCGTATCCCAGTGCTTGTCTGAGTCCTGGCTGCTCCACTTCCGATCCAGCTCCCTGCTAATGCACCTGGGAAAGCAGCAGAGGATGGCCCAAGTGCTTGGGTCCCTGCACCCACGTGGGAGACCAGGATGGAGTCCCTGGCTCCTGGCTTTGGCCTGGCTTGGATCTGACTGTTGTGGCCATTTGAGGAGTGAACCAGTGGATGAAAGATTCTCTCTCTCTCTCTTGCTCTGCCTTTCAAATAAATTAACAAACCTTTTCTCTTTTTTTTTTAGTTAAAAAAACAGTAAAGATTCGGAAGGCAAGCAAGGGTTGGGGGAGACGGAGCCCCTCAGTCAGAGCCCCCCGAGAGCGCAGTGGGAGCTGTCGGCTGTGAGGGTGGAGGACAACGGGGTGGCGAGGGCGGTGGAAACGTTAGGGTAGAAAAGTGGGTTCGCCAGGAATCCAGGCCAGAGCTTGAGTCCAATCCTGAGATACAAAGGATTAGGTTTCTCCTATGAACCTGCAAGCCAGCAATTTTGGTGAATGAAACTTCGTTTGTAATACAGTCTTATTTATGAACAGGACCAAAAATTATTTTCTTCCAGAATATTCCATGGACTTAATGCATCCCACAAGAAATGACAAGGATCCTTGTAATCTAGGGCCACAATTTAATATTCAACTTGCAGTATTTTTCTCCTTTTATCTCCAATATGACTGTTTTTGTTCTTTTATTTTTTAAATATATTTTTTAAACTGACCAAAATGTGTGATGTCCATGATGTTTGGAAACATGGACACACAGGAGCATGGCTAATGGATCTAATTAATGTGTACGTGATCTCACTTAATTTGTGTGGAGAGAACACTTCAGGTTTTACTTTGCAATTTCAGTCTTACTATGTTTTGAGGTTATACTCTAATGAGAGTGTATAGCATGTGCTTATGTTGCCAATAAAGGGAAGACAAAAGACTTGTTAGATACTAAATGAGCTTTCTGGAAATTTAAAAGCTCAGCCAGTGCTCTTGCCCAGAATAAGGACTACTCCACCAGTGAGGAATGGCTGCACATGAATCTTTTCTTGACCCCCACTTGGTGTACCTTCTTTTCTTTGGATACAATATGTAACACTAGTGCTTCCCGCCCCCAAAACCTGGCTGACACCTGCTGCCCTCCTGGTGGACTTCTCTGTCTAGCACGCTGGTGTAGGGGCCTCGCCTAGGTGTCTTCACGAGACTTGGTCCTTTGGTTAATGTTACCCTTTCCACATTTATGAACGCTCAGCAGTGGGAACACCGCTGCGTAGGATAAACTGTTTATACATTTGTGCTATAAACATTTACTGTAAAAATGCTTTTAGCTAAAGGAAGGATTCTTCTCCCCCCAGGGCCCCAGGTGCCTCTCAGTGTTCAGTAAAATGCAACTTCTGCAGTGCACACCGAGGTCAGATCAAAATGTTCCGGTGGCTTCACAGCCCATCCCCCCTTTCAGAAGTCAGCCTTGAGTGCAGCGCCAGGAGAGGTTCCAGGCGGTCTGGAGAATTTAAACAAACCATGCCGGTCCATCGTATAACAAAGCCCAAAGGGTGTCTTTGAAAAGGTGCTCTATGGACCTTCCCTGGAAGCCCATTGGCCAGACCCAGGCTGAGGATGTGAGTTTCCCTGGCTCTGCTCTGTCCAGGATGCTGGCGGATCCATGAGGGTAGGAGGGAAACTTCATGGGGGCGCTGGAGTGGGGCGGCTGATGCATCTGCCTTCCCCACGGGACAGTGGCTCCAGGAAGGTGAGGGCCATGCCTTGCTCTCTTGTATCCCTGAGCCGCAGGGAATGCTCACCACACAGTAGACACAAACACTTGAAGAATGAAGGATTCATAGTTAGAGCGGGACTGCCTCTTTAAACCTGAGCCCAAATTATTAGAAATTGAGAGCCTGGCTTCTCTCTCTCTCTCTCTCTCTGATCAGGGAAAGCTCAGCTTTTGGGATATTCTCATTACTCAACTACCTCTGCGAGGAAAGGAGGGTGTCTGTCCATCCTGCCCAGAGCATGGGCCAAGGATCTCACAGTGGTGCTGGGAAAAGTAAAATACAGCCTTCTAATGGATAACAAGTACGCTTTGTGTTTAAGGCTGTCTGGAGTTTTGTATAAAATGTCATGGACTTTTTTGTTTTGTTCCCTAGAGAGTTGCTTAATTTAATCAGATTCTCAAAGCTGTCTCTGACTCTAACAGGTTAGCTAGCATTGCTCCAGAGCCTTTCTATGTTTTTGCTTTAATAAAGCTTCGCTTATTTTTAATTTTTTTGAGTAGCAGAGTGACATGGACAGAGAGAGAGCGAGCCAGACAGAAACACACACACACATACACACACACACAGCTCCCATCTACTGGTTCACTTTCCAAATGCCTTCAATAGCCGAGTATGGGATGGGTTGAAGCCAGGAGCTGGGTATTCAATCCATATTTGCCTCATGGGTGGCAGGAACCCAGTTACTTGAGCCACCAACTTCTACTTTCCAGGTGCTGCATTAGCAGGAAGTCTGAGTCGGAAGTCAGAGGTGGGTATCACCCAGGTATTCTGATATGTGACATGGGTGTCTTAACCTCTAGGTAAAACGTTCACTCTTGAAAATAAGCTCTTGGGAGCTGGCACTGTGTTGCAGCAGGTTAAGCTGCACAGGTTCAAGTCCTGGCTGTTCCACTTCCAATCCAGCTTCCTGTTAATGTGCCTGGGAAAGCAGCAGAGGATGGCCCAAGTGGGTGGGCCTCTGCACCCACATGGAGACCTAGATGAAGCTCCTGGCTCCTAGTTTTGGCCTGGGGCAGCCATGGCCTTTTCAGCCATTTGGGGAGTGAACCAGTGGATAGAAGACCTTTCTCTCTCTCTCTCTCTGTCTCTCCCTCTCTCTCTCTCTGTAACTCTGACTTTCAAATAATATTAAAAAAATAGAAAATGAGCTCTTAATAAGAGATTATAAAATATGCAAG